CACATTGGATTTGAATCGATGGAGATCAAATCAATTAGGAAAAACGTTCTCAGGAAGATTATTCTACATAAACGCAGTTCTGCAGATGAAAGAGGTCTTGAAAAGTGATGTTCGAGGTGTACTGAGTTGAACGTCAAAACGATCAACAGCAACAGTTTGTCGCGTATTTCTAATCGGTGCCGCTTTTGGTGGAATCAAATGTGCCAAGTCACTCGAACACTTTCCGTGAAAGTATCTATAGAAGAGAGACAAATTTCCAACCCTTCTTCGATGTTCCATGCTATCAAGGTTGCACGTGATGTTCGTGTCCCCAATCAGGCGAAGGTCTCTTTTCTGGATGGAATCCAGCAACTTCAGGATATGTTTGGAAACAGAGCTCGATACATGAGAACAATACCCCAAAGAAGTTCCGATATGAGCTTTATATAGCATCAAAAGTTGCTGAGGTTTGTACAGTTTCCAGCCACATGATTGTGTCATGACATATCGGTGTGCATTTCAACCCTCCATACACTTATCGAAGCAGAAAACGGAATTGCCTGACCTGACCTTATTATATCCGGTTCGGAGACATTCTTCTTGGAGAAATTCGATCCCTGGGTTTTTGTGGCATTGAATTGAACCTAGTTACTTCCACCCCAATTTGAAATCACTTCTAGATCCTCATTAAAATATGCAACCTCCTGCTGCCGGTAGCTGCTCCGTAGCCGATGTCCTAGAATCCAAATGGAATGACGAGACGAGTCTGCTGTTATCAGCAACGTAATATATTGAATTATTGGTTTTATCCAGTAAGTTGTTGATATACAAAAAAAGGTTGGAGACAATATGGATCCCTGGGGAACACCAGCGTTGATGGTGAAAGTATTCGAGAGATATTCATCGAGAGATATTCATCGAGAGCCACTTTCAGGGAACGTTCTTTCAGGAAGCTGAAGAGCCATACACAAAAATGATCCGAAAAGCCATAGCATAGAAGTTTGGCCAGCAAACCGTCATGCCACACACGTTCAAAGGCCTCAAAAATATGAAGCGCAACAGCTCTTGATTCTCCATGTTTATCGATCGCGTTATTCCAAATATGGGTGATATACGATAGAAGGTGGCCTTTTCATCTTTGTTTCCGAAAGCCATATTTATGATCGCTCAAGATGTTATTTGAGAAAATGGTGATTTACGACGCTCTCCATGATTTTTGATATAACTTTTGTTGTCACAGTAAAGCAACTGGTCTATAGTTATTTGGATAATTTTCTTGCCCTTTTTGGGAACAGGCTGAACGCGAGCAATCTTTCAACAAGAAGGAAAAACTCCTTTTTTATAAGACATGTTGAAAAGTAAGCAGAATACTGGTGTGAGTTCATTTGCGCTTTTTTCAAGTACAATGACGGGCATTTCATCAGGGCGAGACTCAGGGGTCATAATGATCACTATCCTCATGCTTTTCGAATATGCTGAAGTTTCGGGTCAGGGCCCGAAAGGCATGCTTTTTCATGAAAAATAATAATGATGATATAAATTTTTCTGACGAGTGACTTTCAGTAGAAGTGTATTTTAGAGCATTGTCATTTCACTATTGCCATCATCCGTCACGCTCAGATGTACTCGAGGGTACAACTGTTTTATTTTATGGAAACTGAAAACATAAAGGCACACTCAATTGTTTCAAATGGATGACCTCAAACTGAAGAAAAAAATCTCCTTGACGGTGGCTGAAGAGTACACGCATGCTATCAATATAGAATTCGGGATAGACATATGTAAAACAGTTCATTTCGAAGAAGGATGTTGTGAGGATTACGGATGTGTATGTAATAGACGGAAGCATCCTCCATCAGCTGGATTCCGAAGAGACGTAAAATAAATGGAAAATCAGAATTTCTTCGAACCCCGCAGACTCGATTCAGACCACATGTTGTTCTGATTATTATTGAAGTCATTGGTGGAATGATGCCTTCTCTTTAGGCAGATGAATTTTTGTATCCAATTATCTCTTACCTCATGATATGAAGAGTGTTCATTGGTACCGGGGTACCCTCCGTAGTATGGGAGCTTCGAAGAAAGAGCCCGACCATCCCAACGTTCATAGTAATAATATTAATAACGATGATAACAAATAATAATATTGAAGTCTTTGGTGGAAGGTTTTGAATCTCAATATCATTCCGGCTTTCCTCATTAGGGTAGAATTCTTGACCAACGTCTGTCATTCTCCAATAATACTCGTAAGTTAGACATCGGAAGACGCTGTCATTATATCAGCGAAATATATTTGAAAGATAGTTAACGTTGAGTTGATATCGAGGTTAGGTTCAAAAAGATCAAAAGAGAAAGTATCTACCAGGGTGTGGCTTTCAACCGCTACAGATCACTATTTATAAAAACCATGCAAAAGGAATCAAAAACTGAACAATAATTATGAATCACCTCCGAATGGCCATAACCCTGACAATTCCAAAATTGTATTTTCGTGGATTGTTATAATGTTAAACTTTGCAAAGTTTTTAACACTCGTTGTGAATCGACGTACTACTCATGTATATTTTGCATTTTGTTGCCAATTGAGAATTCCTCCTCTCTTTTTTCTCAAAATATTTCATCTCACCGTTGACCCCTCACTGACAGTGACTTGAAGTTTCGCAGAATAATTACAGTTTTAGAGATGAGCGGTCCTCTTCGAAGATGAAAATTCATCTTACGATAANGTAGTTGGCAAAAGGTGGAGATATGGCTGTTTGTTGAATCATTGCAAAATTTTCCTGGATTTGAACATTTTTTCTCTTCTGCATTTGTCCTTTCATGATATTGAAACTGCTAGTGTTGAGTTTGCATGTTAAGCCTGTTAATACTAATTGTTTAAAAAACGTTCTCGTCTCATTGTGTACTACTTTTGGATGAATAATAATTATTCAAGCTGGTGCCAATGGATCAGGAATAGGGACTGTTCGAATCAGCAAGATCACTTTTGCTTTATTATATAAAAAAAAACAATCGAAGGATAGCATTTCAAAGTAAAAGTCATAGACTACGCATATTATTACAATCGCAGTTCTACCTCATAAGTATTTACACATATCCAGCATAACTACGAGAACATACACATTCAACCTCATTAAACCCTCCTCAAACTACCACTGTTCCCAACACCACATTTCAATAATTAGTAAATTTCGCATTCGTCAAACGTTCGAATTTATTTTTCCTATGGAATAGAGAGATTGAGGTAGTGCTTTTCGTGATGGTATCAAACCTTTCTTTCTGAAACCATATTCTATCGAGATTTGTATTACTGACGTTATATATTATGTTGCCCTAGGAATACGTAAATTACATTTTCGAAAAAGGAACCAAAAATATTTCTATCCAGGATTTTAACTCAAGCGCACGCAGTTTTGAAAATTTTGCCAAGTGAATAACTTCAGTGTATACAAATTTGATGAAATTATAATGTCTACGGATTTTATCTTGAAATAATATACACTGAAGAAATTGCCTGAAAGCCAGATTTTCAAAATTTTAGGATACCAAACATTTTTATCGATAGAGCTTAGTGTACGAGAGATATATTATACTGAGATCATTCCCAGAGAGAAGAAAAAATTATGTAAACTCAAAAAACTCGAATCATCTGAAGGAACAATTCGTTCCGGTTAGACTCTAAACTCCCTACATTAAAGGTTAATGTACTGATACCTATCAAAAAATAACTACTTCCCTGACTAATACAACGAAGGGTGTTGAATTATATTCGCAATAGATTTTCAATTATTGGAACACACTCGCAGACCGGTTTCGGGCTGTTTGGCCATTCGTCAGTGCAAGGTAGTGTATATCATCAACATAAAGTCGATGATTTCCGATAATTGAGAATCGCATTTCTTCAGGGTATCATTCCTCGAGCTAGGCTGAAGAGGACAACAAACAACAGGTTTGTCGTCGCCCCATCTGCCTGTGAACGAGGTAACCAACCGCAAATCCGAAATTTGCTCAATTCCTCGTATAAGAAAAGAAAACTTTTCACATATAGTCAGTGGGCGGGCTATAAATCAAATCATCTAAAAGAACAATTTGTTCAGGCTATCAGTCTCAACTCCCTATAATGTAGGGAATTGAGACTGATGCCTATCAGAAAACTACTACTCCACTGGCTAATACCACGAATGGCATTAGTCCATCAACCTACGAATTCTTCCTTTAGACGATTTGATTTATAGACAGTCTTCAGGTATGCTCATTGACTATAGGTGAAGAATTTCCTTTCGGTATACGAGGATATGCGGTTGCTTACCTCGTTCACAGGCAGATGGGGCGATGATAAACCTGTTGATTGTTGTCCGCTTCAGCCTAGTTCGAGGAATGATACTCCGAAGGAATTCGATTTTCAATTATTGGAAATCATCGACTTTATGTTGATGATAGACACTACCTCGCACTGACGAGTGGCCAAACACCCCAGAACCGGTCTGCAAGTGTGTTTCAATCGGTCAAACTGGTCTAGTGCATTCAATGGTTGTGAAACTCCATAAACGCAGCCTAACCTTATATTATTCCATTATTTTTAGGCATTGAGCGAAATAACAGATTATAAACTTACTTTTGAATCGTGTTCGGCAATTAATTTTCAATTAAAAAATATGTAGTCAACTTTAATATTTTTTCGTCTGATTCAGTCATCGTTAGTTTTATTCCATAAGATTCGTTTCTTTGTCGAATTAGCCACTTTGAGTGGAATTTCTTATACCTACTGATACCTTCTCTGTCATTAAATTGTTAAACCGCTTTCAGTAATACGTGTTTAACCCAACAATTTCGGTCTTATACATTCAATGGTCTTTTCAAAAGGTTCAGAAACTTCATACTAGTTAGATTACATTGGATATTATTAAAGATATTAAAAAAAAACGATGAGATTACCTTCAAAAATGTCATATTAATTTCACCTGTGATAACTTTCGAATTTCAACAAAAATGATACTAAATGTATGTTATTTCCATTCTAGGAAAAGATTCGTGTACTGGAGATTCCGGAGGACCACTAACTAGAGCTTTCAAAATTGATGGAAAAAAACGAAGCTACACATTCGGAATAGTCTCCTACGGTCTGAAAGATTGTGGAGAGGGTCCAGGAATATATACCAGAGTTATTTCATTCCTGCCATGGATTTTAGATAACATTAAGAAATATTAGTTGTCTTTTGAATGATTCCAAAACAAAAACACTCCAATAAAGTTTGATTTTGATTCTAAAAACATTATCATTGAATGGTATGCAGAAACATTCATAGTAGCAGTTCCTTCTTGGTAATCGAAGATTTTTTCGGGAACCCTCAAAGTTCATTTATATCACTTCAAAAATTAATTATTTAAGTCTAACAAAGTTTTCTGAGCCTTCGTAGTGAATATTTCATATACTAATATAAATGTGAAAGTTTGTGAGGATGGATGTATGTATGTTTGTGGCTCTCTTACGCCTGAACGTATTTAGAACGGATTTAGATGAAACTTAACATAAATACAGCTTATACATTAGAATAACATATAGGCTACAATTTACAAAGGTTTGTGTGATTTTGGTCATATTATGACGAAACGTATTAAGTAAGTCAGAAAAATTCTTGCTCGCTGAGAGCTATCTTGGCGTGCCCTGCCTATACTCGTACCGTTGTAGTTACATGCAGATAATGTACCGAGAGATTGTTTATCTTGAATAGTTTTGAATAAAAGTCCACGATTTCTCTTGTGGTAGTCACTATATGCAAATTCACATTTTAGAATATCTGTCAAATTCTTATGCAAATTGATACAATTTTCGTTTTTAGTATTCAATATAGATGAACTTTGTCTTTAACACTAAGTAATTTGGACGAATCGTTCAAAAGTTATCACGATAGGTAACATAATTCGATTCTCGAAGCTATTCATTACTTAATGCAGTTTAGTTACTGTATTTTTAAAGTAAAAAAATAAATTTATAGCTGTTGCCCGCTGTTATATTTACGTACAGCCGAAGCTACTGAACCTAGAATCTCGAAATATGCAGGTAGGTTCTATGTAAAGCGTAAATAAGCATCAAGAAAGGGAATCAGGAATTTCGACCCCCCAAGTATAAAAAATAGGGGTTCAAAGATTTTAATGAATTTTGTCAGTTTTGAAGCTGGAAACCTGAAGTTTTGAGTTTGTAACAATTTGTTTGAAATGATGTGTCACGAAACTCAATGTGACAGACCAAATTCTATGCGGGCGAAGCCGCGGACAACAACTAGTATTTCTGTTGTTGGAAATGCGTTTTCGACCAATTTCAGAGAATTCAAAAAATTTCATTAAACATCGGTTTTGTAGTGGCGTACTATTTAAGAGTATAATTGCATCTATTTTCTTCCAAAATTATATTACTGTACATATATATCGAAATTGGTTCCATATTTGAACTCAGCTTATCCATGGACCGTTTTTTGCAAAATAATAATAAAAAAAACCAATTCTGNAGGAGGTGGGAGAAATAGTCATTTTAGGAGCTGTTGAAAATAATCCCAAAACGTCAACCGAAATAAATTTGAAAATATCATTAGATCAACCAAAAATTAACGTTAGGAGGATTTTTGAAAAATTTCAAGCCATATAGGACCAGGAGGGTTTATCAATTGTCACCAATTTTTTGGCTGCAAATTTCGATAATAATTGGATAGCCAACCAAGGACCCAACCATTGGCCGTCCAGGTCACCGGACCTAATGCCTATGGTTTACCTCTGGGGAAAGTTGAGAAATTTCATTTTTGAGTTGCCGACCAATTCTAGATACGAATTGGAAGAGGCAGTGATGCAAAGTTTTGCTTCTCTCACTCCTATTGAACGAGGCGGGTTGGCTGTCCTTGTTCTTCTTTTACTGCCTGAACCACGAGCATGCTGTTTTCGGCGACCGCATTGGCTTGGGATATGGGGGTTGAGCAAACTGGACATCGGATGTCTGCTTCCACGTAGCCCCGTTGGATACGGAAATGACAAAATCACTTGTGGTTCTGTTATCCCCTAACTGAATGGCATCCCAACGATGGCTTAATCCTAAGGTGTGTATCCGTGCCGAGAGGAACCTTCGAGATACCGAACGCCCTCTCGTCGTAGCATCGCCTTGTCACGGTAATGCGGGGCTCCAACTGATCTCCCTGTGAATGTAATTCAGGAGCGAGTCTACAGAGAAGATGCATGTCAAGTTTACGACTCCAACTAACCTCCCTGTGAATTTAATTCAGGAGCGAGTCTACAGAGGAGATGGATGTCGAGTTTTCGACTCCAACGGACCTCCCTGTAAATTTAGTTCGGGAGCGAGTCTACAGAAGAGATGGATGTCGAGTTTACGACTCCAACTGACCTCGCTTTAAATTCAGTTGAGGAGCGAGAGCTTCTCAACTCCCCAACTCGTGATCCAACAACTGAACCTTAAAAAAAGGTTTGGTGGTGCAGTCAGGAATCGACTGAGTCGTCTCCTCAAGAGCGTTGTACCTCATAAAACCGCCTTGCACCAAATGCTTGAGCGGCGTACGCAGAATCTGTCTCAGGTGGGGGAACAACCCCCTCATGAGCAGGTTAGCAAACATTCGCGCTCAAGTGATGATTCACCAACACCAGAGGCGAAAAAGCCCTGCACGGCTGAATCTAAGCCATCGTCAGCTGTAGCTGATGTGCAAAAACCCTCACATGGGAAAGTTGTCGTGGGTATCAAGGTGGGAATCTTGCAACTTGACTATCCGACTACCTCATTAACAGAGCATATACTTTGTGCCTGCCCCGCTGGGGACCGAATCAGGTCTTTACAGTTCGGGAGAGCCGTACTCTTACCATCTGAACTGAAATAGGTGTGAGCCACAATAAACCCTTGCGGGTTGCGGTGGAGGGTCGAATAGACCCAGTCACTTTGGACCTAACCTAATCTAACCTATTGAATTAATTATATCGGCAAAAAATGTTCAGAAAAGGTGCCGCCTATGTGTAGGAGAAGCTGGTGGACATTTCGAATACCTTCTTCGAAGGAAGGAATTTCATTATTGTTTTTTATCATTACTTTTATTGTTGAAGTTGTATTTATTAGTAGTAAATATAGTATGAGATGTTATCAGTTTTATTGGAACTGCTGAGAAAAGCTTTTTTCAACATTTGATATCTACTATTGTAGAATTTCTTTCTGTTTTATCGCCGCTTCGTTCAAAGCCTATTTGATCAAACTGCGCTTTGCAAAAACCTAAAAGCCCTGTATTTCAAAGATGAATCTGGCAAAAAATCTAGTGTGCTACATTTTTGGAAAGGTTATTTTGAGCTCTATTGAAATATGCAGGAATATAAAATATAGGGTGTCTCATTAAAAAAATAGTTTTCCATCAATAACTATTGATATCTCATTCGGAAATACATGTTTTTTACACCACTGGATTCTACGTGAAAAAGGCGTAAAAAATTAGTTTCATGGAAAATTACGATATGAGCAGTAGTTTTGAAATTATGACAAAATTAGACTTCCCCATATTCGTCGTTATTTAGTGAACTATTGAAGCTAGTTTCGCATAATTGAAAAAAAGAAGTCCCATACAGTTTTTCGTCACTGATATTTTATGAAAAATGTCAGAAAATACCTTTTCTCGTAGCAGACAACTTGTTTATCCAAAGAGATGAGACTATTGTTGTGGAATTGGCCGCGGTGGTAGTGTGCCCGATTCACGATCGGAAGGCCGATGGTTCGATTCCCACCTCGACCAGATGTTTTTCTCGAGAGAATTTATCTGGTTGAAGCTGGGATGATTCTGCAACCGGGTTAGAAATCACACGTTAAAAGGTGAGACCTCGTTAGTCCTTAGCTCGCACAAGTTTCTCAACTTCTGAGAGTTGTCGTTCGTATGGGGGCGACAGCTGATTAACGGAAAAGCAGATTTTTTTTTCATGATTATTTCGGAGAAGTTTTTCAGGATATACTTCTTTTTATATTCTATCGACTGTCTGTCTGTGTGCAAGGCATAATCAGATGATTTCCAAAAATTTTCCATTGAAACTTGCGTTACGTGGTCCGCAAGGCGGCTAGTCCCAGCATGGCTATGGGAGGGGGTTAAGCGGCGTTGCTAACATCCTTGGCTATACGCCTCCTTCTAATGGGGCACAATTGTAATTGTGAATATTTTGTATATTATATATATCGGTGGTATTTTTAAGTGTTATAAACTAAATAGTAAGTTAAACTACCAGTTTGATGTATACGTCGTGCGAGATTATATTTCTTGGTAAAATTTGTTTGTAGACTAGTCAGATCCATTTACACATGGTATTTTTGTCACTCATAAGAAAAAGTGATGTATTCAAACGTTGTCAAAAGAAATTGATGAAATTTTACTATATGACATCGATATTTCATAGTGTGTATTTGTATCTACATACATTTGAAATGGAGTAAGTTCTTGAAAAATATGATGGTAACGTATTCAAGAAACACTTTATTGTGAGATTTTCTCTAAACAGTTTTATTAAAACGCAACACGTGTTTCGTCACACAATGAATGCTTCGAGCGTGTCTTTACTAACTAACTTTACTAACATTCTCAATGCTTAATATACCTAATTTCACAATTTGAAGTATCCATATCTCAATTACCTGAGTTTTACCTGAGTTTGTGATGAATTAAATTACCTGTGTCTGTAATGAATTAAATTACCTGAGCTTATGTCCCAGTTTCCACATTTGAAAAGATATTTAGTAACAAGAAGGTATTCAATTCTAATTGATCATTCAGTAAATTAGTCGAATTCTTGACTCTATTGATTTCTAAACATTCTAAGAGATTGAGTTTCAAACTTTTCTCTTCTGAATGTAACACGTCGTATTCATGATCAAACACATGTGCTTCTGGTAAAAGGTGGTTTGCAAATGTGGAATTGGTCTTTCTATTTACAAAACTACTTCTATGTTCTTCAATTCTTTGGGAAAATGTTCTCCCTGTTTGGCCAATATATAGTTTTGGGCAAGACCCATAAGTCAACTTATATATTCCTGATCTATCCGACACCGAAGTTTTTCTTTGTTTTTTTCAATAAATTTACTCAGACTATTATTCGTTCTGTTAGCTACGTTTACACATTCTTTCTTCAAAAAAACGGGCAATATTATTGGTGGGTTCACCCAAATATGACATTGTCCTATAACTGACGTTATCGCATCTTGAATTTGGGTTAAGCCTGGTCCATGGCTTCCCTTTGTAGTTTTTTGGAAAGGATGGAGTCCATAATATTTACCTTATAACCGTTGCCGACCGCGATGCGTTTCAACAAACTCAGCTCTCTCTGGAAATTACTCTCAGAAAGTGAAATATCAAATAGTTTGTGAAGCATACTATTGAATAAAGCAACTTTATGCTGGTAAAGGTGTGTGGAGGAATTATATATAATGTCCGTGTAAGATGGTTTGTGGAAAATTGCAAATTCATGTTCATTGTTATTTTTCGTAATGATTAAGTCAAGGTAATCTATTGAATTATTCACCTCCCTTTCAGTGGTAAATTTTATGGACGGTTGGATGGAATTGACATTTTCAACGAACTTGCCTAATTGCCTATCTTTACCAAAACACAGACTAGGATATCATCTAGGTATCTAGGTTCTGAACCAGTACAAGAAACTGTTAGTTAACTGATTATTATAATTTCATACTCTAGGTTATCCATGAAAATTTCAGTCGGGAAAAGACTCAAAGGATTCCCCATTATCACTCCTTTACTTCCTGAATAATATTTTTCGCCAAACTGAAGATAATTTTGAGGTAAACAAATAGTAAGTAAATCTAAAATTCCCTCTTTCATGAGTGGATTCACGTGTTTTTTGTCTAAGAGACGCTCAACCAGTCCAATTGTTGCAATTGGCGGAATACTGGGAAATACATTTTGGACATCAAAAGATAATTATTTCATATTATCAGGAAGAATTTCGTTAATAATATTATTCACTAATCGATAATGATAGTTGTATTTGCATTTATTTAATTTATATGGATTAAGTATGAGGAAAGGTCTTCAGTGTTTCAATTTTTCCTTAATGTGATCTTGATATAGTTGGATATGTGAAAGGCTTCTCTGAAATCTACAAATTTTGGACATTCAGCTAGGCCGTGTTTAACGGTTACAGTTCTGCGGCAGGAGTGGCATTATGGATGGTGTGGTGAAAGGTGCGAAGGTGCGAAGCAAAAAGTGTTAGTGTGGAAGACTTGGGTATCCTTTTCGCAGACGTGATAAATTTGTTTGATATTTTTTATTTCTTAGATTCGATTTCAGCGAGTTCGGAGTGTGATTTGTTTCGTTTTGCTTGCATTTCTTTGTATATGATCTGCCGGATCAAGTGCTTGCCATCTGAGGAATGAATATTGTACTAATTTTGGTATAAGCTTTCCTTCTGATTGAACGACTTCAAAATCATTCATTGGTTGGTATCGCTTTTTGGCTCATATGTGAATATAGAAGTAATTTTTTGACAGATAAAAGGGTGAATGGGTATGTGAAGAGGACTTTTCTATAACTCTGTAACGGTTCGGCATAATAATGTCGTACGTGGAATGGTTTGGAATGTATATATTGAATTGATTTATGTAATACATGGGAATTTCCTTCCGCAGTGCTTTGGAGGTTTGCCTAACTCGCTACAGAGGATTTCGACTGGGCTAGAGCGATTTGTTTCAAGCAAGGCAAGACTGAGTGCAGTGTTGAGTATTGAAGAACCCAACCGGAAAGAGTACGGTTTTATAATGAGTATGCGATAGAGTCGTAGTCGATTTCAGCTCAAATCAGGAATTTATAGGGATGGAGTTTTGTGGCGAAGTCAGCGCTCCAGTTTATGATGTTCCGAAAAGTAATTTACAGTATAATACTATATGAGGTTTTGGTACTACTGAAGTGTCTGATTATTCGGAGTCATGTGGTAGAGTTTTCTCTCGAAGAATATCATTTTGAAAACGTTTATAATGATTACATGAAAATATGGGAAATAAATATGAATGTAAACAGTAAACGACATAATGATATGTATACATGCAATAGTATGTAACAAATATTTTTCTATGAAGAACGACTGTCTTCTAAATTCTTGGATCATCATTGAAACCTCTATTACATTACGGAACTGACGCGATTCATATTCTACAAAAATTCAATTGAAATTTTCATTGTATCATTGTACCACGTCTTTTGTTCGAAAGCTTCATATTTTGTTATTCGTTTCCAATTTTCACAGTAAAGAACAATACGAAATTATTCTAGGCAATAAATTTTTATGTGAGGCTACAATAAATTGGATAAGTGATTTGTATTGTTTTGAACTATTTTATACCTCGTAAAATATTTATTTCCTCTCAGTGGCAAAATGATTTTTTTTCATTCTCCGCTGTTTTTTAGAGTTATTGTACCTTGGTTATATTTGATCCTATATACCTCAGGTGAGTTTGATATGATAACCAGTGGGTCGAATAAAACATAATGATAGTAATAATTAACAACAGAGAGTAATTCGGCTCAGCACAGTATCTGATGTTGACCTGCGAATAGCAGATATTTGAAAATCACTGACTGAATAATTAGGAGGTGATCATGATAATATGATTATTCTGTGTCATCTACTTTATTTTTTATATCATCGCCGTTTTTTTCTACTAATTGTGAGCCGACTGATTCATTTATTTCTCTCAGCCTCACTGGTTTATTACTCATCTTCATTTTCAATGATACTCATTCCAACGATCTTGTTTCCTGAACTAGTTCGTACAGATCTATTGCTGGATATTTGGACATAATTCCTGAACAAAGTTTGGATTGCCTCCTGTGATCCAGTAACTCATATTCGCATAAAATATGTCGAGCTGCCTCTGCTCCTTTTTGTTGCATTGCCTGCAACGTGTAGGTAGTGATTATTCTGAGCCAATCCCTAATTTGTTGAAGCAGTTTCTCAAATTTCTTTTTGGACAGTCCCTTTTCTCGTGTTTGTTTATGGGTATGTAGATATTCCAAGTACTCATCATGTTTCTTGAAATACACTTCCATATGTTTCAATACCAAAAATTTTGTTAACCCCATTTATGGAGTTATGATCCATGTATGGTAGTAAACTCATCAGCTTGCCTGTGACACCCGAGTGTCCTGGCACCCGATATAGACATTTCCAGACCCTGAATCAGGTAATTTGTCGTTAACATCCATTGGTTCTTTTCTACCTGCTGTCATACTGTTTGCTATCCTTGAACTTCTTAGAATGGAATTCCATATTCGCTTCTTCTTTTCTGTTAAAATTATTCGTGTGTTTTTGGATCTCTATTGTCTCCCGTACCAATCGACTATAGTATACCTGTGTTTTCTAACAGGATCCTGTGGTTCACTTCACTGAGTGCGTATTCTCCCACAGCTGACTTATCTGTTTGACCCAGTCTGCAGTTTCTTTCATGCTCCTTCAGCCTTGTTTCCATGGATCTTTTGGTGGTTCCGATATACAGTGTATCCGCAAAGTATGGAATAAATTCGATATTTCCAAAATCAAAGGTCATTTTACAAATACCTGGAATACGTCCATTTTTAATTATAATATTCTACATTTAACAACAAATTTTCATTATACAAAGTGATCCATATTGATGTGATGACGTCATTGGTAATTTTTTTAAATGCAACATCCTGGTGTCAGTTTTAGATGATCCGTAACGAGCTGATTCCGAAAAGGTATGGTACTTGGGGTCTAACAGACAGAATAAATTTTATTGACATCTAATAAAAGTTGAAATTATTCGATTATTTTAATTTTTTTTCTAATGATTAATTTAACAATGGGAAAGTAATCCAGTAATGAATACATTACTCCATTTTAAATGTTCGAACTGTTGTCCTTGCTGAATTTGACACTAACCTAACCTGAATGTTGAATAAATTCTTGTTGAACCTTGTTTATGGTTTCTTGAGAAATATTGTTTATTTATGTTCGAATTCTTTCTTTTGATTTTTGAATATTTGCTGGTTCCGTTTTATAAACAACATTCTTCAGATGGGCCCATATAGAGTAATCCAACGGATTACTTTATGGTCTGGCGATATCGCTGGCCATTCAATGTGTATACGTCTACCAATCCATCGGTTCATAAACATTTGGTCGAGATACTTTCGAACATTTGCAGCATAATGTGGAGGCGCCCCATCCTGTTGAAACCATAAACTTTCATCAAAACTTCCAGGATTAATTCTACTGGGGAATAAATTAATTAAAGTAGGTACAAGATATAACTGAAGGTATGTTGGCCCGTCCACAGTAACGTCGAAAAAGTAGGATCCGATGATCCTGTTTCTCACAATGCCAGCCCATACATTTACCTTATGCGGGTATTGTGTATGATGCTCACGCATCCAGTGAGGGTTTTCTTTGGTCCAGTACCTACAATTTTGACGGTCGACCCCACCATTTGATGTAAAAGTGGCGTCATCAGAAAAAATTATATTTTTTACGAGGAGACGGTCTCGGTGACAGTTATCCATCATGGCTTCACAAAATTCTATTCTTCTATCTGGATCATCCTCGTTTGATTCAAACAGTTACTGAACGTCAATCAAAACAATGACATTTGAAATTAATAAGAAATACTTGTTTGCACGGTTACTGTCAACTACAGCAAGGACCACAGTTCGAACATTTAAAATGAAGTCATGTATTCATTACTAAATTACTTTCCCATTGTTGAATTAATCATTAGAAAAAAATATAAAATAATTAATTGATTTCTACTTTTATTAGATACATATCAATAACGTTTATTCTCTAAGCGCACATCTTTCGAGTTATGGTTAGACACCAAATGTCATGATTTTGCGGAATCAGCTCGTTACGGTTTATGTAAAACTGACACCGAATATAGGGTGTTTCATTAAAAAAAAATCCGATGACATCATCACATCAATATGGATCCCCCCGTATAATGAAATTCTGTTGTAAAATGTAGAATATCAAAATTAAAAATCGACGTGTTTCAGGTTTTTGTAAAACGACCTTTGGTTTTGAAAATATCGAATTTATTCCATACTTTGCGGACACAATGTATACCTTTCCACAACTGCACGCTACGCAATAGACCCCTGCTGCTGACAGTGTTTCCTTTTTATCTTTTGCCGGCCTGAGGCTTCGTTGTATCTTCCTGGTGGGTTTGAAAACTGTTTTGATGTCTTGTTTCCCCAATTGCTTTCTTCTCTCCTTCGAAAGAGTCCCAAATTTGCTGTATAAAAATGGAGAAAAAGAGAGCCAAAGACTTTTTGATGTTTATTCTAGAGCAAAACTGGTTATGAGGATTACATACATTTTTTAAGTTGAAGTTGCTGTTTTTTTAAAGCATCACTGGGCGAATGACATCTGGTCCCAGCCACTAATATGGTTGGAATAAGTTTACGACCCATTTATTTTTCTCTAAATCTACAACTTCCCTTGATACCAGCCAATCATCTCTGGACGCTTTTTCAGGAATGTCCAGCTCTGTGTTTATCCAGAACTGCGGTGTCAGATTCGTAATTTCTTCATTCTCTATTCTCTTGTTACTGTATTTTCCTCGACATTTTAGATTATTTTCCTGAGGTTTGGAGGTTCCTACGAGAGTATCATATCTGGCGCATATATTCCTTCAGAGAACATTCCTTTTTGATATATTATTGTCTGTGGGACAACGCCGTTGTATGTAAAAGTGATAGTTTTCATTAACTGGTCTACTGGTAACCCATCCAATCTTAGCAAGTTTTCTGGTCTGCCTTATAGTCTTCCCAGTTCATTTTCCGAAGGTTTAGATATTATATGGGACCTTCAGATTTCAAAGTTTACATACCCATGATTTAAACAACTTTCTGTCATCAGACATATTACATTTCTGAACATGAAAATATATTTATTACAATGAGATGTGTAAATCATTTGTCATAAAAAAGCACACTGAAGTAGTGTGCGTTCAATGTAATTTTTATTTGACCCTGCTTAAAGATGGTACTGAACGTTCTGTATATACCCCCTAATAGGAAATAATGAGAAGATATGTTCGTTTATCAAGAAAACGAACGAATCTAACATTTATAGTATATTCCAGAGGAAACCTGGATGTTGTTGATTTGGAAATTTATATTATTTGTGTGGTACTACAGAATTGAACGGAACACTACAGGATCGAATGTATATATTGCCAGTCCTGTTCTAATTCAAATGTTTGTGCCCAGAGATATAGGTAACTAGATAATGTAATCAAATTGTGACCATGCTAAAAAAATGTGAAATCAATCATTTCTAGTTGTTGAATAAAACCTCCTGTTGAAAACCTATTCTTCATTTTTGGATTGAAATTGTTTAACATTTTCATTCGCAATATTTTTTCTTTGCATATATACCTTTCCGCAACACAGTCATAGTCATCATTCCTATAAAATTTTCATATCTTCAACAGGAGACACATCTGATAACAGAAATTACATCGAAGAACACCCTGCGTGGGTCTTGATTCCCAATGATATTTGTGGAATACCGAGAGAACGACTGAAGCCTAGAATTATTGGAGGAAGGGAAGCTGATCTTGGTCAATTCCCATGGATGGTAAGATTGGGAAAATATTTCGTGAAACACGGAAGAATGCATCGCATTTTTACATGTGGTGGTGCTTTGATTACGAAATTGTATGTACTGACTGCTGCTCATTGTGGATCTGAACTCAATATGTGAGTAATAGACATACAAGTTTACTAGACATAATACGAGCCATTATAATTATCTATAAGAATACTATCCTTGAAAACTTATAATGATTATTTCAATTAGAGTTGACGTGACCGTGCAGGCCGTCCTCGATTGAAGACAAAATGTTAAAAGTACTTGATAATAATAACTGCGTAAACGAAAGCGAGACATAATTGGAACCACCTATTGCTATGAAATCCAAGTCAATTTGCCAAATTTTTATGTCAGTGTTGGTGGTTTGACCAATCAACCGACAACTGCGGTAGCAGAAATTTGGAAAGCTATCCCGGAATGCCATCGGGAAACGAATCCAAATGTTTCTAGAAATGATGTGAAATCGAAAAAGGTTAATGCAGTCAAGCTGCTGAGAAATAATTCCATGAAAATCAAAAGATAAATAGATAAGTATCACTCTGATCACTCCCATATTGTTTTCAATTTAAGAGCCATTGGTATTGCAACTCACCTGATTTTAAACGTTCAAAGGTGAAAACTCAAAGTTAAAAATATGGAGGTTATCACTTATGTGCTTATAGGCTGCTCAGATTGTTACGGGGAGGGTGTTAGTAAGTTTCAACAATGATTGGTAATAGTCGAAGGCAAACTGAAACTGACTACTACCAATATAACAAGGTTGACTTGACCGGCTCGATAAATGGGCGCCAGGTAGCAAATGAAAATTAAATAAAGATAATTACTACCAAAGAAATTCTCTATCTTGGCGGAGAAGGCAGAATAAACCAACAGNGAATCCAAATGTTTCTAGAAATGATGTGAAATCGAAAAAGGTTAATGCAGTCAAGCTGCTGAGAAATAATTCCATGAAAATCAAAAGATAAATAGATAAGTATCATTCTGATCACTCCCATATTGTTTTCAATTTAAGAGCCATTGGTATATAGACAGCTGTTTCATTGGGCATCGTCAGTACCGGGCAGGCGGTCCTTAATTGAAGACAAATTGAAGAAAAATCGAGTTTTCTAGTAAGTGAAAAGTTGTATAGTGGTTTTAGTTTTCAGATTTAGAATGGAGATCCTGAATTCCACTTTCAAATCCGCAGTTCTTTCATAAGAGATATTGAAGATGTGTAAGCTTCAGAAAATCAAGTCTACCATACAATCATGGAGGAAATAATTCCGCAAATAATTTTACTCATACAACATTATTATGTTTTGAATAATTTCAAAAAATCAAACACTTTTTCTGAATGTAATTCATTGTTCACAGTTTGGAGGCCATCGACAGATTTTCGCGACCAGCCGATAATGTCAGTAATGCTTCATATAATTGTGCTACGAAGTGTAGTGGGGCAACTTCCATCACTACCTCGCTTGACGAGATTTTTCCCAATCAATAGACAGCTGATGATTCCAATTGTTTGAAATATTACATAAACTATTATTTGACACGTTATCAGCAAAATAGTCATTGAAAATGTTTTCTGACTTGTGATCCACAATCTGTCAGCCAGCTGAATTTCTTCTATTTTTGTATTACGGCATTTATCATCTGACGAATTTTCGATCAGAAATAAATCACTGGAAAAGAATATTTTTGTATGTCGTGCGTGGAATGCAACCATTGCTCCACGCACCCACGGTTGCCCAACTGACGTCTACCATACTTTTCACTTTGGGACAAGCATTGTCCCAAAGTTGAAATTATCAACTTCGAACCAATGACAGAACAATCTGTCACTAGCTCCCAAGCTACTGAAACTTCTACTCTGATACCGTTCCTTCATTGAAACTTTCCACTTTTATCATCTTTATATTCGATATGTGAAACAGAAATACGCAGTCACCATTCTCTGATTACCAAGTTCATAAAACGAGTTACAGAACATACATGTAAAACAGAAAATAATGAAAATGTTTTTCAGCGTGCGAGTGGGAGAAAATCGTATTGGAAGCAAAAACTGTGACATGCAGGGATGTGCACCCAAAACTCAAAATATATTTATCAAGAAAATGTTCCTGAGCAATTACAGTACCGATGATTTTCGAAATGATATAATGCTGGTCCAATTGCAGGGGCCCGTTGAATTCAATGGTAAATGGAAATAAGTATGTAAGATAGTTCCTTATTCACTTCTACCTTTGGAATAGTAAGATTGGCAAAAATTGGTTAAGATTCGAGCATGTTCTTTTTTCAAGAGGTTCGATTACTATTAACGGTACTCACAATTTTTTTTCCAAAATGTAGATAAAATTCTAGGAAAGTTGATATAGCTCACCCAATTACTGGGAACATTTCAAAATGGTGCTGGAAAAAACCTTTTTATAAAAGTTCTTAGCATAAAAACTAAACGAGTTTTCACGAAATAATATTGATCCTATCTTTTTCTGAAGCGGAAATTGTGAAAATTTCCACCTAATCGTTACTGCAATTGAGAATAATATGTTTGAAATATAATTCAGACATTTACCCGGTTTATAGTGCTTAGTTTGAAAACAAATGAGCTTGATATTGAAATCGATACATATATATATCGAAGCATTGACGAACACATAGTATAGATATATTTTGTGTATCATCAATAAATAATAGTTGAATCATTTCGAAATGCTCTTTCCATATCAAGCTGATTTTTTTCAAAGTAAGCACTGTAAAGCAGCCAAATTTGTAGAACAAAGTACCTAAATGAAGAGGTTTGTGAAGTGGTAATGATTATTTTCGATTGGGGTGGTAATTATGGGGTGATTTTCACATGTCTTACCGCCGACAATGAATTGAGGCAATATTATTTTCGTCGTAACTTGCTTTATGTTGGTTTATGTCGCTTTATGTTGGTATTTCCACTGTAACTCGTAAGCACCCACTTTTCGAGAGCATTTTTTTTCGAAAACTATGCATTTTACAGAAAAATTTAGCCAACAAAAAATGTAGAGGGTATCGTTATCTACAATTAATGTCATGGTGTTATGTTGTTCAACAAAAAATTTGTGCAGCAGGTGGCTCTAAAGTGCCACAAAAAGGGTTTTTCCACTTTTTTGTCCTGAAATTTTCATTTTTCAGCTACGATCCAAATAGAAAAATTGTTCCTTTCAATTTTATAAACAACTTTTGTTTTTAATTTTTTTCACACAACTTACCGTTTCAGAGCTGCAGCTTAATAAAATGAAAATTTCACTATTACGCTTTCACTAAGTTTGATAGACACGGAGCAGATAACAGTTGTATTTTCATTTTTTCAATCAAGAAGTAATAATCTATATTGTTCATAACATATTACTACTGAAATATACTATCAATATTAGACCTTTATGGATACCTTTCGATTAAATTTTTATATAAATTGTTCAATTGAGCGGAATGATTTCTTGTAAAATAAAATGTAAAATAGTTGTAAAAGTATTTTTATTTTGATATAAAAAACAATTTAGTATTTAATTGGAAACGTTAAAAATTATAACGATTTTATTGATTTTTTGCGAAATTTGGATTAGGTCGATGAATTATTCAAATTGATGTCATACATTTTATTGCTGAATACACTTATATTTCTTTTATGACGTACATGTTTTCGTTTTATAACAATTGAGTAACACTGAAGTTTCACTCGATTACAATAAAAAACAATTTTTCAAGGGTTGCAAAAACCTATCAGCAGCAGTCAGTAGCAGGAAATGGGTTACGCTGACACCTATGCTAATTAGTTTTGCTGCAGCGCATTCGTGTTGGGTGTACGGACGATAGCATTTGCTGTGAATGTCTGGGACTGGGATGCTCTTTCAGTAATTCTTGAATTTCAGAATCACCTGTAATTATTGCTGCTCGTATTAACGACTGCCGACCTCGGACACCCACATGACGCACATCATCCACAACATACTTGTCACAAATGAAGCAAACACTAATGTTTTCACTCATTTTCACAGAGCAAAGTTTTGCTGTCTCTACTCTCCGAAACTCACATAGCAACTGAAAAATGTGCGTTTCTTGAAGAATATGGCAGATGACTGAATGGTTACCGTTAGCACCACTGCGCTGTTCACGCAGCGCTATATTACACTATATCTTTGAAACGGTAAGTTGTATGAGAAAAACGTTGAAATAAAAGGTATTTCTAAAATTAAAAAGAACATTTTTTTCATTTGGGTCGTAGCAGAAAAATGAAAATTTCAGAACAAAAAAGTGGAGAAACACTTTTTTTGGNATTCATTTTTATTTATTCAAGAATAATTACTATAAATTAGATTTCAATTATAATGTAATATATATTTTTCCCTCTACAAATTTATAACTACACGGGCAGATAAGTGTTATTAAATGAATTGATTTTCAATTGAAAATAAATAATTGATGAAAAAAATATTTAAATATGGTGTATTTGTTGATAAAAAATGAATATTAGTCATAATTATTTATTAAGTAATAATTTATGAACCTTAAATAACCTGATTTCAATCGGGACAAGCAGTTGATTTCAAATAATATTTAATCTGCGCTCGCGCTGCCCCCTATCTCAAAAACTATTCAACGTATGAAAAAAATGTTCGAAACAAAAGTTGTAGAAAATTCAATTCTCTACAATATTGATAATGAATACAATCAACATAAAACCCATTGGAAACTAGATATTGGCAAAAAACGTGCAAAAAGTCGGTTTTTTTGACTTTTGACCCCCAATTTTTGCGGCCGTCGAATCATATGTGAACTTTGAGAATACTTTGATGATGCCAAAATACAGAGTTCATACAAATTTACAGCTGGGTATCTCCGCTTTCCTTGGTAAACACCCTAAAATGACTGGACTATTCATCGTTCTCTAACGACTCACCAAGTTTCATTTATCGGCATTTTTGCAGTCATTATTTGACAGATTGACCGTGTTAGGAATCACATGTTAAAAGGTAAGACCTCGTTAGTCCTTAGCTCGCACAAGTTTCTCAACTTCTGAGAGTTGTCGTTCGTATGGGGGCGACAGCTGATTAACGGAAAAACAGATTTTAAACAGATTTGAACAGATTGACTGTACTACACGCACCGTTTGTAATGGGTCAGCCTCCATCAGGGTCCTCATATCCTCGCCCTGAATTACTGCCGGTTGACCACTTCGGGGCTAATCTGCGAGGCTAAAATCTCAGTAAAGAAATTTTGCAAACCAACGTTGAATAGTGCGTTCACTCACACAGGTTGATTTTTCGGGCTGTTTCGACAATGCGTTGGTTCAATTCGAATTCATAGAGAAAAATTGACCGAACGACATTTTGTAGTAATAAGCTGAAAAGAGTAACTTGCATGAAAATGAACAACATCAATGTATAGAGTACATAATTCTCGGACAAAACTTTTAAAACAACACTGCCTTCCGGGTGAGGTGTATTCAAAAACTTTCAGTGGTAGCCGACCTCTTTTAAAGTGAAAATTGGATGAAAAATTGAAATATTTTTTGGAAAAGCCAATTGTATATATAAGGATAGTTTCAAAAGTGATCGTATTCAATTCAATGCAATGAATTGAAAAAAAAATGACCAATCACGTACACTGAGAGGTGTATGCAATTGGGTTTAATATATAAACAAAATGGTTATTCCTTGAATGAAGTAGATACAATTTAACTTTGTTTGTGAGATCAATGATTCAAACTCATCAAAATGGTTTGTAATACAAAAATAAAATTAAGTTCATTCTCAGAGAAAATAGATTCCGCTGAGATGAAATGCGTTCATCATTTGGTGAACAATCTTGATCACATTTGGAAAAACATTTTTTGCAGTTTATCGATTCAAATATAAAATGTTTTTAGTTCTATTTTTACTGCAAATGTAGCTACAATCAGTTGTTATTATGATAAGAATCCGGTCCACATTCAAAGGTAAAATACAGCTACGAGCCTATGAATTCAATGTCGATTCCTTTCATTGGAAATTTTGTTAATTTTTTAAATTTCTCCCACCTATATATGGTATATGTATTTCAGATAATTAATGATTGATCGAAAATTAGAAAACAATTTATTTCAATATTTTTTTTAGATTTCGTAAAACCGGTTTGTTTGCCACGTGGAAATCTGTTGAGTATGAACCCGTTGGGAAAATATTTCAGAATAGCTGGATGGGGAAAAACAAATTCAAATGAAAATAAAATTTCTCAGAAGCTTATGTTTTTCTCTGGCCCTGTATTGAATGATGGAAATTGTAATACAATATTTAAACATCCGATGGTCGATTCCCAATACTGTGTTGGATTTNATATAAAAAAATATACAGTGTGTCCACGTATAGAGTGGACACACTGTATACGTGGACACACTAAGAGAAGCTAAGAGAAGAGACATCTTTATTGTTGATTGTATGACAAAAAGTCATTCTTATGAAAAATTTGCGTCTTTCAGTGTTAGTAAAGTAATAAAACGTGAAAATGTTTCATGAGAAAAGTAGATACCATTATTTTTTCACACAAAGTTTTGTTGAATGAAGAATTATGTTCATAATCTAAAATAAGGCATGAATTAAAATTTTCAGACGAAATTTTATTCAGATAAATGATATAGTTTTTGCGATTATTTCCAGCATTTCAGAAAAATCGAAAGTCAATTCAGCAAAAGCTTGCATTTAGTTCTTTTAAAATTGACCCTGAGTGATCTATCTTGATTTTTTGTGAAATTTTGAAAATAATCGCAAAAGAAATATTCACATAAATCACTATCACCACAAGGAGTTCAAAATCACTTCATTCATCATCCTTTGAAGAAAACTCGTCGGATTATCAGTACCTATCGCGATCGTTATTAATCAAGATATTAATTAATTAATGGTCAATTGCAATGTTCATTCCAGTGTCGAGACCCACTTTTTGTCTTCTTCTTTTATCGTATGCCTAATGCATTTTTTCCATGACTCGAGTGTGACATTTTCTATCGCAGTTGCTAGTAGGTCCTTTACTTCATATATTTTGAGAGTTAAGTTTTTCCCCGCTACTTCGATTTCTATTCGAGCCCATTTCAACTCGATCGGATTCAGCTCACAATGGTAAGGAATCAGCTGGTGTACAATTATGTTCCTCTCACGAACTACTTCGTCGACAACATATTTCTTGTTACCTTAAAATTAATAAGACTTCATCCTGGAATGGTTATTTTTTTAGACAGCCAGTTATTCATATCAGCTTTCCGCCACGCAGTTGTTGGTGACTGCTCCAATTGTCTGCTGTGATAGGAGACATTATCCATGACGACGCTTGAGTTTGATTCAAAGTTTGGTGAAATCTTCAAAAACCAACTTTCGAAGTTTTGGGAGTCGCTAGTTTCCGTGGACTCTAAGAGTAACAAGCCGTTTATGAGTTTATGAGTTATTATGAGCCTCCGTCCTTTGCCAGCTGGCGCTTTTAATCCTGTTGAGAGGCCGACAATATTGTTGTCGACAACATGTTTATTTGCTTTTATATGCGCAATAAAATACGCCGTGATATTTTGGACATCGATTCATCGGAACTTATATCGGCTGCGACTTTTTTTAAGGTAGGAATTTCATTTCGAAATTAAAACGAATAAAATTTCCTAAAAATAGCATATTTGGTGCAATCATCAAGCTGAATTTGTTTTCTTTCTAATTTGTTTTGTTTCTAGTTGCAATATACATTATCACATTTACTTTCATTTTCTTTAAATGTTTCAATACTTCTGTGAAAACTTCTCGTCGACACTTCAGTTTATTTTTATTTTCAGTTGTTATTTTATGAATATTTTTCAGGTGGGATAATTCTGAAATACATGTTGTACAAACCACCAGAGAAAAATAATGAAATTTTTTGAATCGAAAAGTATCACAAACTAACTCAAATAATATGTTCTCAGGTTTTTGTGATATAATCGATATGGATCGTTTTTACAACTATGAAATGATGAGATCTTCGTACAAATAAAGCAGATGTGAATGAAAATATGATGAAAATATTCCATAGCTTCAAGCTGATTTTACAAACTTTGTGAAATCCCAAGTTTTGATTTTAACACGAACAAGTGGTACCTAATACACCCCTAATACATAATACACCCCAGGGCTTACATTTTTTATTTCATCCTTCGGACAATTTGGAAATTTTTAAATCTATGTAGATGATATTGAATATTACTGGAGTTTTTTCCCAACACCAAATCGTTATTTTTACACCTCGATTTGGTGTTGGGAAAAAACTTCAGTAATATTCATTACTACACCAAAGGTTCCAAACAGTATATCACAAAAACATAGACATTGTTGTTCAATCTACTAAGTGTCAAGTCCAAGTAACTGTTTGGGTTTGAAATGTTTGTTTCTACTTCAATAGTGAATTTAATGTTTTCATGAATTATTATTCCTATGAAAAATATGTAATTGTCTCTGTACCTGTGAAACATACCAATACGTCATCCACATATCTATGCCAACACAAGAAATACTCAATCGTATGATGTTTAAAAATTGACTTCTAGAGGATGCCTATGAAAATTTCTGTGGTTCAACATATTCAAATCATCTTTTCAGAAGACAATCATATCTTTAACGAATTTTCCAAAATTTTACACATAGAAAATGAAGGTTTGAAGCTAAATCATTTGGTAGCGATGGTAATCAATCAACTCAAAAATTCAAAAATTTCACTGAGGGACCAACTGGATTCAAATGGAACCATTGTTGAACCTTTTTTTTCAGAAACTGATGAAGAATTATTATTGATGTAGAATTCATGTTATATGCTTTACGTAATCATAATTAGATGTACTTTGGTTATATAAAAGTTGGTAGATGCTTCAGGTAATTATGATAGAGTAAATACCTGGGAAGGTAGTCTCAATTGTGTTTGCTAGGTTGGTCGATCGGTAGCCGGGTGAGTGCTTTGTTCACTCAGTCAATCGGCCGATGTGTGAGTCGATGGTTCAAGCCCCAGGCTGAACGCTAGATTATCACTAGTTATCGCCCAATCCGTGTTAGGATACACACGTTAAAAGGTAAGACCTCGTTTGTCCTTAGCTCGCACATGTTTCGACTTCTGAGGGTTGTCATTCGTAGGGGTGCAACAGCTGGTTAACGTAAAAAAACATATTTTTAAAAACATAAACAGACATATAAATAATAGAGTAAAGAATGAACTTTTAGTACGTTATTCACAACGAAAAAAGCTACTGTGTTAGCGAAACATGTGATCTTTTTCTAAAATAAAGTTTGTGGAGATCAAATCGTAAATTGTAGTTTGTGGAATTCTAATCGATTTTGGCAGAATATATTTTGCATGACGGTGTAGAATCAGGGAAAATGTCAAGAAATCATTGTTGAAACACTATAACAATCGAGCAACAGCTTTAAATTTGAGTTATACAAGGGACGTTCAGAATATTTTTAAAATTGCTTCCTGTGGACCAGACGTTTCTGACCGCCTGGAAGGATGACTTCTGAGAGCCCAACTTTTCTTATAAAATCCTATAATTTCAGGAAAGGATTCATGTATTGGAGATTCAGGAGGTCCAATGACTAGAGCTGTCAAAACCAATGGAAAAAAGCAGACTTATATATTCGGAATCGTTTCTTATGGTCTAACCGATTGTGGTGAGGGTCCTGGAATATATACAAGAGTGATTTCATTTTTGCCGTGGATTTTAGACAATATAAAGGAATATTAGATGTAGTTTGAATAATTTTGGAATAAAATCATCCCAATGAGAATTTTTGTATTTTCAACGCTAAATGGCTATCACTGAGAAACAATTCAGCGAAAGACAAAATAGGTAAGGTGTCACTTGGAAGTCGAATACTCCTCAAATTTAACAGGTGACTATAATGTCATCAAGATAGAACAAACATGTTTTCCAACACCAACTCCATCAAACGTTCAAATGTTGCGAGTGCATTGGATAATCCGAACGGCATAAACTTGAACTTGTATAATCTATTACCCGTTGAAAAGGCAGTCTTCTCTTTATCCTCGGGGCGAACGGCCACCTGCCAATATCTGCTTTTCAGATCTAATGTTGAAGAGGGGAGAGCGTGACTATCCTTTCTGGCGACATCATTAAGCCTCCTGTGGTTTACGCAAAGTCTCGTCGATCCATCTTTCTTAGTCACTAACACAACAGGTGACGACCAAGAGCTGTTTGATTCCTCGATTGCTCATTCCTCCAACATGTCCTTAACAATGAATACAGCTTCGTCTTGCTTTGTGAAGGAAAGTCGTCTCGTGGCTTGGCATCACCAGTATTGATCCGATGTTGAACTGAGTCCATTCCACCAATGATTTTGCCCTTCACAAAGATATCGTTCTCTTCCTCTACGAATCGGATGGCCTTGAGTAGTTGTTTACAGCTGATTCTCGGCCTCCCCCCACCACGATGACGTATTAATTGCTTTTTTTATTGGTTGTTGTTTGGTGAAGTTTTTTTGTTGTGCAGTGAAGTCAAGGCGTTGTGACCTTGAAGTGTCTGGTGCATGGATCGTTCAGATTACCTAGGTAGAGTCATCTCACCACTCTCCTCAGCAATATACGGAATCAAAGTATTGATCAGATAAAAAAGTAATGAAATCGTTGGGCATAGTATTTACATATTTACTCAGGTTACGCAAAGTCCAACGATTTTATTATTTTTTAACTGATCAATACTTCGATACCGTAGATTGCTGAGGAGAGTGTTGTGATGACTGCTACCTAGGACCTTTCGAATTATTTTTTAGTTTTCAGTGCATTATCTACATCATTATTATCTCTTTTCTCAATAAAACCGTTGGTCAGGAAAATTTTTTCATCAACCTTTCGTTACCTGAAAAATGAATCTGGTTCAACAAAGAATATGTTCAAGTATGATAAACTGAACAAAATTACGTCAATGAGTTACTGCGTTAATAAATGTTATTATGCAGTAACTTTTTGGAGTGATTTTTTCAGTTTGATCTTCATTGCACTCGGACAGATTTTCTGTTATTTTAGATTCATTCATTTTTCAGATTATGGAAGTGAATTGTCAAGGAACATTGGCTACTCTGCTGAAAAGTCATTCAAATAATACATTGAAACATTTTGTTCCTCTTGTCAAAAAGAGCGAAAAAGGTTTTATGAGGTATCTAATGGAGTTACAATTCTTGCAATCACTCGATTTTGGTAAAGCACTACTGATATAAATAATACTTCATGTGAAATACTTGGCTATCAATGATTCGCTGAAGAAATCAATCCAATTTGAATTCTTTTCTTCAGAGTTTCTGGATAAATAAACGTTATACATTATACGTTATGGGATAATTCTGCAACCGTGTTAGGAATCACACATTAAAAGGTAAGACTTCGTTAGTCCTTAGCTCGCACAAGTTTCTCAACTTCTGAGAGTTGTTGTTCGNGTTTGCTAGGTTGGTCGATCGGTAGCCGGGTGAGTGCTTTGTTCACTCAGTCAATCGGCCGATGTGTGAGTCGATGGTTCAAGCCCCAGGCTGAACGCTAGATTATCACTAGTTATCGCCCAATCCGTGTTAGGATACACACGTTAAAAGGTAAGACCTCGTTTGTCCTTAGCTCGCACATGTTTCGACTTCTGAGGGTTGTCATTCGTAGGGGTGCAACAGCTGGTTAACGTAAAAAAACATATTTTTAAAAACATAAACAGACATATAAATAATAGAGTAAAGAATGAACTTTTAGTACGTTATTCACAACGAAAAAAGCTACTGTGTTAGCGAAACATGTGATCTTTTTCTAAAATAAAGTTTGTGGAGATCAAATCGTAAATTGTAGTTTGTGGAATTCTAATCGATTTTGGCAGAATATATTTTGCATGACGGTGTAGAATCAGGGAAAATGTCAAGAAATCATTGTTGAAACACTATAACAATCGAGCAACAGCTTTAAATTTGAGTTATACAAGGGACGTTCAGAATATTTTTAAAATTGCTTCCTGTGGACCAGACGTTTCTGACCGCCTGGAAGGATGACTTCTGAGAGCCCAACTTTTCTTATAAAATCCTATAATTTCAGGAAAGGATTCATGTATTGGAGATTCAGGAGGTCCAATGACTAGAGCTGTCAAAACCAATGGAAAAAAGCAGACTTATATATTCGGAATCGTTTCTTATGGTCTAACCGATTGTGGTGAGGGTCCTGGAATATATACAAGAGTGATTTCATTTTTGCCGTGGATTTTAGACAATATAAAGGAATATTAGATGTAGTTTGAATAATTTTGGAATAAAATCATCCCAATGAGAATTTTTGTATTTTCAACGCTAAAATGCTATCACTGAGAAACAATTCAGCAAGAGACAAAATAGGTAAGGTGTCACTTGGAAGTCGAATACTCCTCAAATTTAACAGGTGACTATAATGTCATCAAAATAGACCAAGCATGTTTTCCAACACCAACTCCATCAAGCGTTCAAATGTTGCGGGTGCATTGCGATTTTGCCCTTCACAAACATATCGTTCTCTTTCTCTACGAATCGGATGGCCTTGCATTGTTCTTCTTCAGACAGAAGGCTTCACGTCTTCTTGAAAGAATCGATGAGTTCCTTTGTGGATTGTTCCTTTGTTCCTTTGTAGATTGATTTCTTCCTCAATTCTGGCAATTCTTATATCGATTCGCAGGTGCCTATTACTTGCCTTATCTTGAGAGTCACCCTGTTATTATTGGGGTTGATTATTCTTACTGGAATGGTCTGATTGTTACCATTTACGGGAGATCTGGTCACGAACATTCCTGATTTAGAGTCGTTGAATGGCTTTACCAATGTTGTACCTAAGCCGCCAGGTCCAGCAATTTCAGCTTGAATGATTTTCTCAGTGTTGGGACAAATTTTGAAATTTTCTAGTATAAATACCTTGGCGTTATCATTAGGGTGAGAGGGCACGTTGAGCAAAATTTCCTCATTTCCGACTTTCAACAGTTTGTTTCTTATGTTCACCACGAATCCGTAAGGAGCCATGATGTCTAGTCCCATGTTGGCACCCCATACCATAGTTTCTATTTAGCAATTTCCAAGCATAAGTCTCACTTCAGCTTTTCCATAGACCGCCAATCTCATTACTGACCTCATTGCTTTAGTATCGACGGTGAAAAGGCATTGATGACTATCCAGAAATCCGTCGACAACTAGGCTATTACTGATGCGTCCTATCATGGAAATCAAATACCTGAGGGCTTGGGATGCAGCAGCCAATGTATACTAGCTGAATTCAGTTTTCCGAATTCCGAACTAGGGTGATTTCGAACGCCAGTCTCATCTTTCGTTGAATGTTGAACGAGATCGACACTCCCGCTACAAATGTTTGCCTCTGCCGCAGTTATAACATTAAGATTGCCCTCTTGCCTTGGATGCAGTTCCATTCATCAACTTTTTTTTGAAGAGTTCCTCTAGACCTACCATGAATCAATCTGATCCTTCGTCTTCCTTTTCGTTGATGGTCCTCACTGAAACTTTCCGTTGTTATGGCGAAGCATTTTTGGCACCTTCAAATTTTAGAGCATGAATGATGCAGTTCCGTCCATGAAACTATGGGTGCTATCCAGTGGGTGAAATTATAAGGTGCTCCTGGGTAGGAGAGTCTTACCAACCTTTCGACTTCAGTCCCAAACTCCTGCAGACTCTCAGATGGACCTTGACTTCTCAACTTCAGTTGAGCTTCCTAGACTTGTTGAGAGTGCTCACTACCATACCTGACTTCCAAAGCTGATATAACTGCTTCATAATCCTTCTACCTATTGACCGGAATATTTTGTAGATCTCAAAGGCCTTTCCTCGTAGTGCCAGTATGAGAGCTGTTGCTTTCTCCTCATTTTTCCATCCATTATTTTCCGCAGCGGTCTCAAATTCTCCATGAAGATTCGCCATTGAAAGTTGGAGTTTTAATAAAACTGCTGCTAGAAGGAGAGATGTCGTTTCCGATTTACATTTTTCCACAGCAGTTCTCCTTGTGTCCGGTAATTCTTTCCGAAGCTCCCTGAAAACCTCTTCAAACTGTTTGTCAACTCATTTCAACTTTTTGTCAATTCCTTCAAACTTCTCTTCAAATTCCTTTCAACTCCCTCAAGTTTCTCATCGACTACGTTTTCCAATCTCCTTTGTTTCCTGAAATACCTTTCCAAATAATTCTTGGATAAATTCCTGTACCTCCCTTCTACTCACTTGGGAATATTTTGCATCTCCAAAGAAATGAAAGTACATCTGATTTTTTTCCTGCTTTTCCTGGTTTTCCTGAATATTTAACTGTTTTTCTTGAATACCTAGTAGTAATTCTGTTTTTCCTGAATGTTTACTTGTTTTTCTTGAATACCCAGTAGTAATATACGATCTTCATTTCTTTGTAACTTTTTTTCCTCCCTTCGTCATTCAGCTTCTTCATTTCGGCGTTTTCGTTCTTTCATCGTTCCGTTTGCAAAGCCTCGAACATTTTCTAAAGCTCTTCCATCTCGTCGTAATCGATACTCCTTGTTGTCACCATAAAACAGAAAATTTTCAGTCATTTATTCCACTTGCGACACCAAATGTTATGTTTTTCCCAGTTGATTTACCAATAATTGACTACACTGAACAAGAATCAAACTTAACTTCAATACAACAAACACTTCAACTAATATTCGAACGTTTATCACTCTACCAGATCGCTCCACGTACCGCACTGTCACTTCCACTTTATCTCGATAGGCGAGTGGATCGCGTTTATATATGGTAATCGAAGGCGCTGGAAAATTTCTCGGGATTTCATTGGAGTCGGTAGCATAATTCTTGCCACATCTAGAATGGCAGCGACCACCGAACATTCGCGCGCTCTTAGCTACGTCACAATTGGTCTATGGCTACCAGTGGCGGGCGGCGTTAGTATTTTAGGGCATGATTTACAACAATATCATGAGCAGTACTTGATTTCTACATAGATCTAGAAGGCAAATAATAATATCATAGCCTCCCAGACAAAATTTGGAAAAGAAGTACTTTGCAGCAAAATAAGATGTTCATTATATGTAGATTGAGCTGCTGAGTCCAAAAATGAATGAATATTCTGGAAGTTCTACTTCAATTATCTTCGGAAATTACTCGTTTTAAGTGAAATATTCAGTAATCCGTGAAGCATTCAATTCCGTGCTGCAACTTTATACTCATACGGATGTCTCTAAAAAATATATATACCAATGTTAGGATATGGTGATTTGTGATGAAATGGCTCTATTCGTAACACCTCAATTCATACTTCATTAACTTCAGAGTTTTGATTCAATTATTTTCAGAGTTTTGGATTTTCCTAGGAATATTGTGTGTTTCCAAATTCAGAGAATAGTTGGATAGAAGCATGAGGTATGTCATGATATTTTTGTCGTAGAAAAAAATTCAATCCTAACATTTGGTAGGACCACATTTTTGTCATGTATTTTCTAATATGTTTCATCTATCAATAAAATACATACTTCATAATACAAAATGAAAACATTGTGTCATTCTTAGATTCTGTAAGGGGTTTTCAGGAATTTATTCTTTCTATTTTTGTCTATAGAAATTACGATGGAGGAGCATTTTTTCTACACTGAAAAGTCATTGATTCAATGCTAGAATATTCAAGAACTGAAAACTTCTTTAGTACGCTAAAAACGAGTTCAATAAAAAAGAAAAGGTTTTGAAAATGCTATAATATGTACAATAGTTTAGTAAATGTATTTTATGAGAAACTAGATATTTCGAAATGAAATCTCAAAACATCCATCTTTCCCAACCTCCAGCAGCAGGATCACGCTGAAATCAAACGATTATAAGGTGTATATTAGGTACCAACGAAATATTGTAAGTAAAAAATGAAACAATGACGTCAAAAAATTCGAGAGCAAATGCAAGATTATTTCATGTGATGTTACATCGAATATCTTGCAGTAATTGATATAATAAATGAATGCTAATGAACCTCTGTGCAGTGCAGCACACAAGCTGAAAAACTTTTTTATATTTCGAGAAAGTGACATTCATCTGATGTTTCACGGCGGTGTTATAAATAAGTTATGGAGGTCCCAAGTTTTGTCGAGTGTTATCTTGGGTTCATTTTTGCTCAACAACTGACACATACGTTCATGCCTTAACTTATCATTGAAAGTAGCCGTTAAAATAAATGGACGACAAAACCTAGTCGTTCACTAACAGTTCAATGTCATCATGTGGCTGAAAAGTGTAACAATCTTACTAATTTTACATTGGACAGAAGTTCATGGTAAGTATTTTTTATCCAATATCGGATATATATTCCTGCTATTGATTGATGAATTGCTGGTTAATGAACTATTTTTGGAATCCAAGTTGAACGGGAGAGATCATAGAACTTGGGAAGAGAAACCTGTTAATACATATATTTGCAGAAAAACGGTTTTTTTAAGTTGATATGAAAAAAATATGAGCAAAGGTTCATTCAATTTGTAATGATTCCTGAAAAAGATATGATAATCGATACAAAATTGAAATGCTCATGAACTGATTGAGATTAATGAAGAAAAGAGACTTGAAACTTTCTATGTTTTTCACCACCTTTATTTGTAACTATATTTACTGTAGTTTAGTCCTATAAGGACATAGAAAGTTTCATGTCTCTTTTCTTCGTTATGATATCCTGCCACGTAGTAACGGCTACATCCATCAATTTATCAATTAAGATCAGAAAAGCAAATAGTTTTTATTAGATATATACTAAAATAATACTTCTGTACCATAATTTATTCCGTTCACTATAATTTTCTATATAACCTGAAAAAATATAATCTTTCAGACAGAAATTAAAATTATGAAAACTGTATTGGTAAGAAATACATACGTACAAGAAAATAAATATTTTGAAATGGCACTTCGGAACATTCATCTCTCCCAACAACCCACACAGTAGGTTTTGGTAAATGCCTATCAGAAAACAACTACTTCCCCTGCTTATACCACGTTGGATATTGTATAGATTTGTATACCGAAAGCCCGCTCACATGGGACAATATCAGAACCACGAATCCAACCATCATCAATCGGCTAGAAGAGGAATCATCAAGACTATGATAGACCGTGCTTTCGGGCTTTGTAATACGAAGGAAGGTCTTGAGAAGGAACAATTTTGTCCAAAGGATANTCTACAAAATTATCTCAGTTATTATTAAAAAACTGATTATTTTTGAAAACTTTGCCACCCTGTATCTCAAAAGTTAAGGCGTTTAAGACATACATCCATAGGAAGTTTTTTTCTTAAAATGGGTCTAAGAATTACCTCCTTAAATATTAGCATGTGTTTAAGGAACACCCTGTATATTTTTAAGGTTAAGTTTTGCCCCGCCACTTCGATTTCTATTCGAGCCCATTTTAAATCGATCGAAATTAGTTCACAATGGTTAGGAATGCGCTGATGTACAATTATGTTCCTATCAGGAACCACTTCGTCGACAACATATTTCTCTATTCGAAGTTTGTGTTACCTTACAATTAATTAGACTTTGTCCTGGAATGGTTACTTTTTTTAGACAGCCAGTTCGAAAAGTATCACAATGTAACTTAAATAAGTTACCGACATTTTTGTAGTTTTAGAATTGATATGTTCCCAGGTTTTTGAGATATAATCGATATGCATCGTTTTTACAACTATAAAATGATGAGATCTTCGTCCAAATGAAGCAGATGTAAATTTTTAAATTGGGATTGTGAAATCCTAGGCTTTCATTTTAACACAAACTAGTGGTACCTAATAGTCTTATTTGCTGAAACCTGCTTTAAGAAATACTGAGGTCTGAATATCATAAGTTAGAAATTTGGTTGAAATATGTCATAATCCATCGTGTTAGAGTTATTCAAGAATATTTTTAGGACTATTATGAAAAAATGATTACAAAATGGTTAGAGATGATTTATATAAAGCAAGTTTCACCTGCAGGCATATAATATTTATTTCAGGTGGATAACGATATTTCACTTATGAAGCTCAAGTTTGTATGAAATATTGTTGAAACTGTTATTCAATACCAATGATGAGAATACTACGACCAAGCGTCAAAGCTGCTGACACTACCAGAAAATTCAAAATAAATTTTATTATTACTCATGATATCAAATGATAGAGCTTGACTAGGAGAATAAAAGTTCAGTTTGAGAAAAATGCAGAGTCAATATAGTTTCTGAACGATCCATGCACCAGACACTTCAAGGTCACAACGCCTTGACTTCACTGTACAACAAAAAAACTTCACCAAACAACAACCAATAAAAAAGCAATTAATACGTCATAGTGGGGGGGGGAGGCCGAGAATCAGCTGTAAACAACTACTGCCTTGCATAATTCTTCTTCAGACAGAAGTCTTCACGTCTCCTTGAAAGAATCGATGAGTTCCTTTGTGGATTGTTGAGCAACCTGTAGATTGATTTCTTCCTCAATTCTGGAAATTCTCATATCGGTTCGCAGGTGCTATTACTTGCCTTATCTTGAGTGTCACCTTGTTATTATTGGGGTTGATTGTTCTTACTGGAATGGTCTGATTGTTACCATTTACGGGAGATCTGGTCACGAAAATTCCTGATTGAGAGTAGTTGAATGGCTTTACCAATGCTGTACCCAAGCCGCCAGGTCCAGCAATTTCAGCTTGAATGAATTTCTCAGTGTTGGGACGAATTTTGAAATCTTCTAATATAACCACCTTGGTGTTATCATTAGGGTGAGAGGGCACGACTTTAAACAGTTTGTTTCTTATGTTCACCACAAATCCGTAAGGAGCCATGATGTCTTGTCCCAAAATGATGTTGGCCCCCCATACCTTAGTTTCTATTTCGCAATTTCCAAGCATAAGTATCACTTAAGCTTTTCCATAGACCGCCAATCTATCTCCAGTTGCTTGTTTCCAGAACGAGTACTATTGATTACTTCTTCAAACTGTCTCTGTCAGAAATGACAGCTCTCATTACTGACCTCATTGCTTTAGTATCGACGGTGAAAAGGTATTGATATCTATCCAGAAATCCATCGACAACTAGGCTATTACTGATGCGTCCTATCATGGAAATCAAATACCTGAGGGCTTGGGATGCAGCAGCCAATGTACCCCCCTAACACTAGCCCAATTCAGTTTTCCGAATCCCGACGCTATAGTTCGGGTGATTTCGAACGCCGGTCTCATCTTTCGTTGAATGTTGGATGAGATCGACACTCCAGCTATAAATGTTCTTCTCTGCCGCAGTTATAACAATAAGATTGCTCTCTTGCCTTGGATGCAGTTCCATTCATCAACAATTTTTTGAAGAGTTTCTCTAGACCTACCATGAATCAATCTGATCCTTCGTCTTCCTTTTCGTTGATGGCCCTCACTAAAACTTTTCGTTGGTATCGCGAAGCATTTTTGGCACCTTCATATTTTAGAGCATGAATGATGCAGTTCCGTCGATGAAACTATGTGCGCTATCCAGTGGGTGAAATTATAAGGTGCTCTTGGGTAGGCGAGTCTCACCAACCTTTCGACTTCATCCCCAAACTCCTGCAAACTCTCGGATGGAACTTGACTTCTCAACTTCAGTTGAGCTTCCAAGACTTGTTGAAGGTGCTCACTAGCATATCTGACTTCCAAAGCTGATATAACTGCTTCATAATCCTTCTACCTATTGACCGGAATATTTTTTTGCAGATTTTAAAGGCCTTTCCTCGTAGTGCCAGTATGAGAGCTGTTGCTTTCTCCTCATTTTTCCATCCATTATTTTCCGCAGCGGTCTCAAATTGTCCATGAAGATTCGCCATTAAAAGTTGTAGTTTTAATAAAACTGCTGCTAGAAGGGAGAGATGTCGTTTCCGATTTACATTTTTCCACAGCAATTCTCCTCGTATCCGGTAATTCTTTCCGAAGTTCCCTGAATACCTCTTCAAACTTATTGTCGACTCATTTCAACTTTTTGTCAACTCCTTCAAACTTCTCTTCAAATTTCCTTTCAACCCCCTCAAGTTTCTCATCGACTACGTTTTCCAATCCCTCCTTTGTTTCCTGAAAATAATTCTTGCGTAAATTCCTGTACCTCCCTTCTACTCACTTGGGAATATTTTGCTTCTCCCAATAAGTGAAGGGACATCTGATTTTTTTCCTGCTTTTCCTGTTTTTTCCTGAATATTTACCTATTTTTCTTGAATACCTGGTAGTAATTCTGTTTTTCCTGAATATATACTTTTTTTTCTTTAATACCTAGTAGTAATTTACGATCTTCATTTCTGTGTAACTTTTCTTCCTCCCTTCGTCATTCAGCATCTTCATTTCGGCGTTTTCTTTCTTCAATCGTTCCGCTTGCAAAGCCTCGAACATTTTCTTAAGCTCTTCCATCTCGTCGTAATCGATACTCCTTGTTTCCACCATAAAACAGAAAATTTTCAGTCATTTATTCCACTTGCGACACCAAATGTTACGTTTTCCCCCGTGGATTTACCAATAATTGACTACACTGAACAAGAATCAAACTTAACTCCATTACAACAAACACTTCAACTAATATTCGAATGTGTATCACTCTACTAGATCGCTCCGTGTACCGCACTGTCAGTTCCACTTTATGTCGATGGGCGAGTGGATCGCGCCATTCAAAGGCGCTGGAAAATTTCTCGGGATTTCATCGGAGTCGGTAGCATAATTCTTGCCACATCTAGAATGGCAGCGAACATCGAACATTCGCGCGCTTTTAGCTACGTCACAATTGGTCTATGGCTACCAGTGGCGGGCGGCGTTAGTATGGACGACAAAACCTAGTCGTTCACTAACAGTTCAATGTCATCATGTGGCTGAAAAGTGTAACAATCTTACTAATTTTACATTGGACAGAAGTTCTTGGTAAGTATATTTTATCCAATGTCGGATATATATTCCTGCTATTGATTGATGAATTGGTAGTTAATGAACCATTTTTGGAATCCAAGTTGAACGGGAAAGATCAAAGAACTTGAGAAGAAAAACCTGTTCATAGATATATTTGCAGAAAATCGGTTGATTTAGGTTGATATGAGAAGTAATATGAGCAAAGGTTCAATCAATTTGTAATGATTCCTGAAAAAGATAATATGATAATCCATACAGAATTAAAATGCTCATGAATTAATTGAGATTATTGAAGAAAAGAGCCTTGAAACTTCCTTTGTTTTACATCACTTTTTTTTGTAACTTACGTTACTGCAGTTTAGTCCTATGAAGACTTTTTCAAACTTTAAACTTGAAAATGTCCTTATAGGACGAAACTGCAGTCACGTTAGTTACAAATGAAAGTGGTAAAAAGGAAGATAGAAAGTTTCACGTCTCTTTTCTTCATTATGATTTCCTACCACGTAGTAACGGCTACATCCATCAATTTATCAATCAAGATCAGAAAAGCAAATAGTTTTTATTACAGATATACTAAAATAATACTTCAGTACCATTATTTATTCCGTCTTCCGCATTCCGTCCACTATAATTTTCTATATAACCTGAAAAAATTTAATCTTTCAGACAGAAATTAAAATTATGAAAACTGTATTGGGAAGAAATACATACGTACAAGAAAATAAATATTTTGAAATCGCACTTCTGAACATTCATCTCTCCCAACAACCCACACAGTAGGTTTCGGTAAATGCCTACCAGAAAACAACTACTTCCCCTGCTTATACCACGTTGGATATTGTATAGATTTGTATACCGAAAGCCCGCTCACACGGGACAATATCAGAACCACGAATCCAACCATCATCAATCGACTAGAAGAGGAATCATCAAGACTATGGTAGACCGTGCTTTCGGGCTTTGTAATACGAAGGAAGGTCTTGAGAAGGAACGATTTTGTCCAAAGGATACCAAGAAAGAGAAGACATCATAACTAGTGCTTGCCCTTCCCTACACCGGACAATGTTCGCAAAGGATAAGAAGAATTGGGTCCAAGTACAACATCAGAACCTGCTTCAGATCCGGAAACACTATCCGTAGCAGCCTCACGAAATCCAGACGTGGACTCCGATTCCAAGAATTGCATTTACCGGATACCATACGAGTGCAAGAAATTCTATATCGGTGAAACTAAGAGGCCATTGAAAGTTCGCATTATCGAGCACAAGAAACACACACAGAGAGGAGAAATCAGCAAATCGGAAAAATAGCAGAGCATCTTTGGACTCATCAACATAACATCAAGTGGTCCCAAGCTGAGATCATTCACAGGAAGGAACACTGGTTTAGAAAGAAATTCAAAGAAGCCGCATATATGTTGTCCAACAACGCATTCAGTCGAGCTAGGGTAGAGATACGTAACATATGGAAACCCATAATCAAGAGAAAAACGGCAACTCCCGCAAAACGGTCAGGATAGGTGAGAGTACTCAAATGACCTATAAATAGTCAGCTCTCGGAGAAATATTGGCTGTATTGGCTGTAGACCTGCAGAAATCAGTTATGTGGTATTGGCTGCAGACTTTCAACTTCATAATTACATGTTTATGCAACTCTGGACTAGTGACAGGAAATGGAAAAAAAATGATCGCTTTCCACAAAACCTTGCTTGTTTGGGAAAAGCTGGAGATAAAAAATCAAAACCAATAATAATAATATGTTTATTAAGAAACGGGTAGCTACTGTACAATAAAAAAAAATAAACATAGAAACCTCATATTAACTAAGCTGATTGTATGAGTTGACTTCTTTTTTTTAAGTTATTGAGTCGAATACAAAACAAAACAGAAAAGGTGAGAAAAGATTAAAAAATATGACACACATATATACAAATATACCAGATAATCAACAATTCAGTAGTAGTACTTCAAAATCTGTGTTCAATAAAAAGGTTTTGAAATTATTTTTGAGGACACGGTAAGAATTTATGAAGTGAATGTAAATTTTGTCTGGTAGATAATTGGAAATTTTGAGTTATGTATGTGTAGGCCATCTCTGCCACAGTGATTTTTTGGTTTTGCTTATTCTGACATATTCGTCAAATTTTTTTCTTGTGTCATTGTTATGATCAATTTTTGGTAGTGTTCCTCTAATTTTGTAGAGATATGCTAATACTTAATATATTCGCATCACGGAAATAATTCTAGAGTAGGGTAAGTAAAATGTTCGAAGAACATTATTTTTAATATTTCTTATGAAGTACCTATGTCTAGTTTTGTCAAATGTGATGGTAAAATACCACCCTAACTGAGAATAGCAAATTGAATTCGTGATTCATCTAAAGCATAATACACTTTTCTCAACTATTCTGGGTCTAGACAACTTTTCATTTGCTTGAATTTGAATTGAATATACCTCAAGGTTCTGGTTATACTGGTGACATGTTCATTCCATCTCAAATTACACCTAGGTATCTGATATGAGTTACAGTACCAATATCGATTATAACACCCTGATTTTTTCAGATGAATTTATCGTTAATAGGCTATTTATGTAAACAGACAACAGCAACGGTCCCAACACTGATCCCCGAGGTACTCCATATTGAGTCACTTCTTCCCCGCTAATATATTCAACAATTTCAACTGCCTGCACGCGATGAGATGAACAGCTTCCCATCAGATATAGTGACCTTTCACAAACTCACACATTTTACAAGACTTCCAACAACTTTCAACTACGTTTGAATATATAATTTTAGTTAGTACTGATATTGCGTCATTGGTTGGGTTAGGTCAAAAGTGAGTGGGCCTATTCGTCCCTTCACCGTAACCAGCAAGAGTTTTCTGTGTCTCACACCTATTGAAACTCAACCAACCAACCTACCAAACTCTGAAAACTTGATTCGGTCCTCAGCGGGCCAGGTACATAGTATATGCTCTGCTGTTTCATCAATTTATAAACAGAGACGACACAAACTGTCTTCCGACAGTTAGACATCGTAGTTCATCCCTACTGTACTCCAACAACTATTGGGTTTCAAGCTTCGAAGGGTGAATGAATGCCTTGGAGTGAGCCAACCCTGGAAGATTTTGTCATCCAGGTGTTCAATGTTTGTTTGACAAAACTTAAAGCAATGCCAATGACAGCTTCTGGTCCGATGAAGCTACTTGCAGCACCCTTCTTTGCCTTCATCATTGCCTTTCAGACCAGTGTGGGCAGGAATCCAGACGAGAGACAATTTGTTGAGTCTTCCTATTGAGGAGAGTCGTTTTAGGCAATTTTCTACCAACTTAGACGTTTGTGTGTGAGGTTGGATTCTACCAATATATTCGCACATAATTCAATAGCATAGATTTTCGGTTGGAATACATTCGCATAGATCCCTAGGCAAGTTGATATCTCTGTCCTGGGTCTGCAACTGAAGACACCTGCACCAGAACACGAAGGTCTTTTTAATCCACCTGTGAACCCATAACTGTCTGTTATTGAAATTTCCTTCTCTCGGAGTATTATGTAAGGCAGTTCGCAGTTGACAGTGGGAAGCATAATGCCAGAGATCACTCCCAGAATGCTGTGACTTTCAGTGTCAGCCAGCAGTCTAGAGTACTCCGCATCAGATTGCTTGTATGCAGTCCATCTAGCCTTTCTCTCCAGAAAAATGTCGAGAGGAAATAGTTCTAGAAGGATCTCCATGCCGCTGACAGTGTGGTACTGATGGCACCACCAGACAAGCCTGTTACCAGACGATTGCCCCATAACAGGATTCAACTAGAATCCAAAGAATTCGGAACAATCCTCTTGACCTAACAAATATCTAATGGACTTCAAAGACCAGGAAATCGGTTGGTGGAGAAGATGCATTCTTACGAAACTGCACTGCATGAACAATTGTTCGAGTTTGGTGAATAAGTAGGAAACATTCTCGTACTCCTTCATCGTTGAAACCTCGTTCTTGAAATTCTTCGCCAATAACAACACTTCCAAAATGCTATTCATGTAGCAAGCATTTCCTAAATCATCTAATTTTATTCGCAAGATTTTCAGCGCAACTGTCTACTGTTGATAATGGAAATTTTTTATGAAATTGTCCATTATGCCGAGACAGTAAAATAATCAATAATTTACAAAAAAGATGATTCAGATTAAACAGAAATGTGGAAATAGATAATTTAACTACCTATGTGAAGAATTTTTGACACTTCTTGGATGATTTTTTCTGGATGGTTTCTTTGGCAGGGTAACTTCAGGAGAGCTTATTTCTTTCATTTCATTAGCCCGATTCAGATGTAACGAAAATAAAAGGGGATCCGATTTCAGATTCTGCAGAGTATATTTTTTATCATCCACTATCAAAAGATTCTGCCTAAATAATGCTGTCTGTCCGTTTTTTTTTTTGACCAATTTAAAAGGGAGCTGTATGTGGTACTTGTTCTTCCGCACTTTTTTGTGTAATTCAAGTAATTGTTTCTAGAAAAGTACCTTTCATGTATGATTTACGAATTTTTGTAAAAAAATTATTTTGAATTAGATTACTTCCTTCCTTCAAAAGTGTCATTCATTATATGAAGATGGAGAAGTGAAAATGCAAGAAGCTTCTTCTCAAAAACTGATCTCCACTCAAACATATACCCATTTCAATATATAAAACAGTATACGTTGGCATTTTTCAGGTAATAAATCCAGTATAATTGACAATCACCCATCTTGGAAATGTTTGCCGAAGGATACATGTGGAATGACAAGATTCGATGTTGCGAAAGGTAGAATTATCGGTGGAGAAAAGGCGGCTCTAGGTCAATTTCCATGGATGGTTAGAATAGGTTTTGCTAGGTTTACTCTAATGGAACCCGAATTTTTTTGTGCCGGTAGTTTGATATCGACAACACATGTACTAACGGCTGGCCACTGTGGTACGAAGAACAACATGTGAGTAATGGAAACTTGTTTTAAATTTTCAATGCTTCAGTAAAATCAATTTGAAATAGATTTTGTCGTTGACCAGCTGTCATCTTACGGAATATAGCTGGACAAATTAGAAAAACTTAAAATCCTTCTATAATTGAACAATCATGTAATTATTAGCTGATAATAACAATAACAATAAATATTTCTCAGGGTGACTTTCTCAGTCTCCTTGTTTTCCACATCTCAAACTTCTCAGATGAAATTGACTAGTATCAACTCTTACGGGCGGCGAGAGAGTATACGCATGCTATTGGTATGATTCTGGGGATGATCAATTGTGTAAAAACTATTTTAAAAAAGTGGTTGGCACTTCTCATTTCCCATAACAGATTTAATATTTTTGGGAACATAAAGCAATTCATGGTGGTGATGATTCAATTGTAGAATCAGAGCATACCAGGGGATAATAATATATTCTGAATTCGCATGTACAGGGTGAGTCAACAAGATTCCCTCGTTCCATTGCTATCAGGAAAAACAATTTCACGAATTGCTCAATTTTTTTCGCAGTCATATCAATAAATACTATCTTTAAAACTTATTTTCTCGCATACTGGTTGATTCAGCCAAGCGTGGCCAACCATAGTTATATTTTTTGAATGAAACACCCAGTATTTGAATACGTCATTGGATTACATATTTTTTTAACTCTCTTCAAGGAATTTTTGTTCTCGAATTTCCATTGCGGAAATGCCAAGTTTTTCCAGAAAAACATATTTTGCAGACAATATTTTTTTAATTCACCACCACCCGCATGTCTACAACAATCAAGTGGATTTTTTCAGGAATAGTTAGTCAACATCACTATGATAGTTTGGGGAAATCTCAACTTTCGGAAACAATATACAGGGTGCTCGGTAAAACCGGTCAAGTTTCATTCATTTTCAAACAGACATAATTCAACTGTTTCAAATGTAACACCCTGTGATTTTTCATTTGTATGAAATATTTCAACATTTCACTACATTTTTATCATAAGTTTACTATACGAAAAACATATATTTTACAAATTTTACCCAGTTTTATTAATTGTTGTAACAACAAAAAATTCATTTATTTACGTTCACTTACTCAAAAATTTTTCAATATGAACAATAACGCTTCAATTTTTTTTGAATAGAAGAGTCCAGAAGATATTCAAAATGGTACCATTTTCTGCAACACATAATGTCAGTCTTTTTTTAAACGAATCCTCCACACGTTCCAGCATATCCCCTGGCATTTTCCTGAAAGCTCTAGTGATTCTTTGTATCATGTCTTCTGTAGATATTGGAAGAGTTTGGTAGACAATCCATTTGATAAACCTCTATAAAAAATCCATTTTGGTCAGATCAGGTGATCTGGGTGGCCACGCCATAGGCCCACCCGTACCTGTCCATGTTTCATTGAAATGATCGTTGAGGTAGTCCCGTACCTCAGTTTCAAAATGTGGTGGTACACCGTCTTGTTGTAGCCACATTCTAAGTCTTGTTCCATATGGAACCCTGTCCAATAAACTCGAAAACTTATGCCGAAGAAATCTAACATATTTTCTTTCAGTGAGAAGCCCATCCAAAAAATACGGACCGATAACTCTCTTTCCCAGAATTCCATCCCAAACATTCAGTGACCAACGCTGTTGATGGTTCAGGCAACGAACAAAATGGGGTTTTTTCCGTTGCATAATAATGCATGTTATGCCGATTCGCAGTTCCATTTGTATGAAAAGCCGCATCATCAGAAAATAACACGGAATCGAAAAATCAAAATCTCTTCCTCTTAACTCTTGCATCAATTGTATGTGGTAGGAATGAAATTTGTTTGCTCGTATCATTCCAGACACGCAGATTTGAGAAAATTTTATTCCTTGATCAGGGTTCGGGTACTCACATGGTGATTTTCAACAAGGTGAAGAGCAACTTGAAATATATTCCCTTAATTTGTTACAGGACAAACACGTTCGAACTTCTCGTGATTGACATTATCAGTCTTTATAGAGTCTGAAAGGCCCTTCCATCTGGTATCTGGTTGTCTTCTTTCAAAGATTTATTTTTTGTAAATCCTAGATACAAGGAGGCAGTTTCCGTCACTTTTCCCCAAAGCATAAACCATTTGCACCATATCTTCCAACACATAATGGAAATGATTCAATATACACACGAAATAAATTTCAACACGTGGCGTTATTGACAAATTCCGAGATTCATTTTTTGATATGTCATGGGTGAGTGGGTTTTTAAAGAAAAAAGCAGTATAAATATTCTTTAGGTTTTTTATGCATTTCTTATGAAACCGCTGATAACTATCACTGGATGATATGAAAAATGCGAATGTACTAGCGATTAGTTTGAATATTCGAAAAACAAATTGGAGTAAGTGAACGTAAAAAATGACATTTTTTGTGTTTACAACAGTTAGTAAAACTTGGTATAATTTGTAAAATATCAGTTTTTCGTATAGCATACCTCTGATTAAACATGTAGTGAAATGTTAATACATTTCATAAAAATGAAAAATTTGAATTATGTCTGTTGAAAATGAATGAAACTTGACCGGTTTTACTGAGCAACCTATATATTATTTACAGAAGTTGAGATTCCAGAAATTATCATATTGATTTTAACTAACTATTACTGGAAAAAATCCACTCAATTGCTGTGGTGGTGAATTGAAAAAATATTGTCTGCAAAATAGGTTTTCCTGAAATAACTTGGCAATGCCGCAATAAAAATTCGAAAACAAAAATTTCTTAGAACGCTAAAATATAGAAAAGTATAACTTTGGTTCAAAAGTTAATATTCATCGATAAGACTGCAATAAAAATTGAGCAGTTCGAAAAATTGTTTCCCCTGATATCAGTGGACCGAGGGAATCTTGTTGACTCACCCTGTACAAGACAATCCCACTATAAATTCTAAAGGGTTTTGGACGCATACTCATGGCATACTCTAAACCTGTTGTCAGGAACCTTTATACTCATCATGTGACTATGGTAAACCACAATATTGGCAGACAATGTTGCTAGTTTTTGACTTCAGTGCACTTAATCTGAGAAGAGCAAAGGTCAGTTCTTTCGATGAGCCAAGGTTTCAAACTTGTTGAAGAAAAACTTCATGAATCATCCCCACGTAACTTCCGAGGCTTTGTTGTGGGCTCTATACTTAATGAGTTCCAACTCATTACTTCAAATAACTGTAACTAATTTCAACCAAATCGATGTGAGGATATTTATGATATTTTATAAATACCTTCTTTTTTACTAAAACGTCTTGTATCTCAGAAACGAAGCAAGTCTGGACATATATTCACGAGAACTTGTTTTCAAAAAGATCTTTACTTGTATGTTTCATTAACTTCACAGTGGAACCGACGAACTACATCTCTGTGATTGGTGTGATCCACAGATTTCTGGCCACACATGCTGACGTAGAGGAAAATAAAAATCTGTGGTTGGGATACGAAATTATTACCACCCGTACTGATATCTGTGGCTGGAAATACCTATTCACTATAGGTTGAACGTGGAATTAGTAAGACTATTTGGTGAACAACTTTTTTATAGAATCTTGAGTAGATTGACGTGTTGGTAAACGTTTTCTTATCAACAATACAGATTTAGAGAAGAATAATATTGGAAATATCAGACTTACTTTCCAATACCCCATGTAGAAATGATACCCGATGATGTGCGTTCATCAAAATGATACAACTTCCATAGTTTCTTGAGTAGATTAACATGGTCTTGTCACCCCAACAGACTTCGAAAAACAAATTGTTAAAACAATCAGATTCATTTTTTGAGATTCGTTGTAGAATTGGAACCAGATGATGTGCGTTCATGAAAATAACACAACTGTTATAGAATCTTGGGTAAATCAACATAATGAAAACCGTTTTCTTGTCATCCATACAGATTTCGAGAATTAAATTGTTGAAACGATCAGACTTACTTTTTAAACCCCTTGTAGAATTGAAAACAGATGATGTGAGTGCATAAAAATCGAGCAAGCCTTATGAAATTTCGAGTAGATTGACGTAGTGATAACAGTTTTCCTTGTCACCCAAACAGATTTCCAGAAAAAAATGTTTAAAACAATCAGAGTCACTTTTCAAAACACCTCGTAGAATTGGAACCAGATGATGTGCGTGCATAAAAATCGAACAAGTCTTATAGAATTTTGAGTAGATTGACGTAGTGATAACAATTTTCTTATCACCCAAACAGATTTGGAAAAAAAAATTGTTGAACAATCAGACTCATTTTATGAGATTCCTTGTAGAATTGGAACCAGAAGATGTGCGTTCATCAAAATCACACAACTTCTATATAATCTTAGATAGATCAACATAGTAGAAACTGTTTTCTTGTCACCTTTACAAATTTTGAGAAAAAAATTGTTGAAACGAACAGACTAACTTTTTAAAACCTCTTGTAGAATTGGAAACATATGATGTGCGTGCAATAAAATCAAAAAAGGCTTATGGAATCTTGAGTAGATTGATGTAGTGATAACAGTTTTCTTGTCAGTAATTTCGAAAAAAAAAATTGTTGAAATTTCAAATTCTACAAGGGGTTTTATAAAGTGGGTCTGATTGTTTCAACAAGTCAAGAAAACTGTTATCACCAAGTTAATCTACTCAAGAAACTATGGAAGTGGTGTGATTTTGATGAACGCACATCATCGGGTATCATTTCTACATGGGGTATTGGAAAGTAAGTCTGATATTTCCAATATTATTCTTCTCTAAATCTGTATTGTTGATGAGAAAACGGTTATCAACGCGTGAATCTACTCAAGATTTTTTGAAAAAGTTATACACCAAATAGTCTTACTAATTCCACGTTCAACCTATAGTGAATAGTTATTTCTAGCGACAGATATTAGTACGGGTGCTAATAATTTCGTATCCCAGTCACAGATTTTTATTTTCCTCTACGTCAGCATGTGTGGCCATAAAGCTGTGGATAACTTCACGCCAGTATCACTGTGACTATTTCTTCGAAAATATAAATATATTCTTTCGAGTTACTATCTATGGTTTTCTATAAATCCATTACTCCATACAATTCACCATTGTGAATAATCCAACTGAAGGAAACTTTTAACTGATTGTACAGTGTCACCCCCAAAGTATGCACCATATAGGAAACTTATTTATTAAGGGTTTTTCGACAAAAAATTATAACTGATATTTTGCATCCCCTAAAACTAAATATGCACCAACAAAATACAGTACAACACACGTAATATACGAGAAGCCTTCAAATATTTGTACTCTCATTTTGGAAAATCTCGAGAAATGTTATTTAGAAAAGTTGTTCAGAATTGAAAAATACATCTAGATTTGAATTCATTGCCATCTGAGTGAAGTTTTATTTTTTTACCATTATTTTAAATGGGGAGTTGATATTCAATAATATCAAATCACAAAACATCGAAATAAAATAGACATTTCGGAACAAACTCATTGATTTTCTGGAGATTTAACTTAAAACACTCATTTTGGACAAGAAAATCTCCTTTACTTTACTCTTGTCACAAAATCAAATATTTGAAGGCTTCTCGTATATTACGTTTGTTGTTCTGTATTTTGTTGGTGCATGTTCAGTTTTAGAGGATGCACGAACTTTCATCAGGGATAACTTCTTGTTGAAAAACCCTTAATAAATAAATTTCCCATATGGTGCATACTTTGGAAATGACACTGTATATTATCTGTGTTTTCTTGTATTCACTAGTTGTTGTTCTTCTTCTTCTGGGGCCGAATCTTTCTTGTTGTTGGAACTAAAATGAAATTTTTTCTGTACTCAGCTGAAAATTTTCAGCAGGTAATTACCTGAATTATTACTATCATCATCGATTGTTCAATCGGGAATGACATGTTTTCATAGAAGCAATTTGATACTTCATTGAAAAAGAATGAATAAACTGTCTAGTATTTTCGTCGAATGTTCTCGAAGATATTACAAGAACGAAATATTCCGACTTTTTTAATGCGTAACGAAAACTTATTATTTCAGGTAATGAAAATGATGTTATTAATTACGTTCACGTTTTCATTTTTCCAGGGTCAGAGTTGGAGAAAACAATGTGGAAACTAACCCTGACTGTGAAGGAAACGTATGTGCCCCACGACCACAGGATATACGAATCAAACTTTACTTGATAGATATTTACGACAGTGAAACATCCCAAGATGACATCAATATGATATTATTGGCAAAACATGTCAAACTCAACGGTAAAGATTGCTTTCCGTTGCAACAATATTACTATTATTATTACAGTATCAGACAATTTGGAAAAACTTATATATCGAGTGAATAATCATCACTTTTTTTGAGTTAATACAAATCAAATTTTTTTTTTCAGAAAGTCTACTCAAGTTTATCTCATATAGTCCGGTCAATTTAGATCTGAAAACAGTAATGAAATGAAAACAGTAATGAAAAAATTGCGACAGGGCTAAATTTTGGTGAAGACCTTTATTTTACCATAAAAAATTGAAATTTGGAAGTTCCAATCTGTTCCATGAGCGCTTCAAAAGTTATTCGTGGTCAAAGGTCAAAATTTAGATTTTTTGAGTTTTTCTCGAAAACCGTTTTATCAAAAACATACTCTTGAACAAGGTTGTGGATCTTAAAATTCTCTGCAAAAATGGCCTCTATAATTTTTTCTGTAAGTACCGTTCCTGAGATATCGCAATTATAAAAGTCACGTTCTATGTTATATGCACACGTTTCCACACCACCTGTGAGGAAGTGTACTTGGTACGTTTTTTTAACGCGGTTCCCCCCGTAGGCCTATTCCACGAATCGTTATAACATAATTTTTAGTCACAATACTTATTTAACTGCATGACGATTATTCGGGTAATAATTCTACTTCCATATTTTAACTTCAATCGTACTTTTAGAATTCGGTTATCTGAAGCTACATTTTAACAAACATTCTTTAATTCATCTAACGTAAACTGGCAATCGTTACTATTTTCCGAAAATTCATAAATTTCCTCCATCGCAGAGTTTACAGCCTCACTTTGTGGGCGCCCAATTTTACCGCCAGTATTAGGTCTTAGAAAAGACATATAACAACTATCATGGTATTTAGCATCGAAGCTACTAAATCGTATTTAAAATTAATACGATGAACGACACCTTTTGATAAGACACCAGAACGATCTTTATCTAATTTCAAAATAGATTCTTTGAATTTGAGTGTAGTAACTTTGTAAATTTTTTTTCGAAGACTCTGCGTTTTTTTTCTCAGCCTGTTCATCTGCTTCATCGCCACAAAATAAACAGTTTCCTTTAAAACTAAAGCTAGATTCACTTACTCGTGCTCTAGCACGAGGTGAACTTACTTTTGAAGTTCATCTTCACGTTGTCTTTTTGCTGCAGCAATTGAAGTTTTCCGGGTGCATGATTTTCGGCAATCCACGTAGATTGTAACGGACTTTACACCTCTTAAATATTCAGTAAACTCATCACTTCTCGCATCACTTGCATCGATTAAAGTTTGCATTACACGATTAACCACAACAGTTTCACCTTCGTCAAAAGCGTAGAGCATATAAACAAAATTGCGATACTTTTTCCAATAATAATCACTAAAAACTCTTATAGTAGACGCTTGTAATAAATACGTATATTCATTCGAATAGAACGTTCAACACTTAAAGAAGCAGGCACATGAACGACGCCACATGGACAATAGAATAGGTACCCAGATGTTATATTCAAGGCCATACGGGTAGAGGGGATTTTCGAAGGGACTGACGGGCCTTTAAATGTATATTTTCTGAATATGATATATAGTATATACATAACAGAGTCCTAAACAGGTATTGTTACTTGCTTAAGTACCTGAATGTGTATATACGTGGTTATATTCGTGCATATTACATAGAACGTGACTGTTACAATCGCGATATATCAGGAACGGTGATACTTACAGAAAAATTATGAGACCATTTTTGTAGAAAATTTTGACATGTACAACTTTGGTCTGGAGTATTTTCTTGAAAAAACTTACGGTTTTCGAGAAAAACCCAAAAAACCTGAAATTGTGACTTTTGACCCAAAATAACTTTTGAAACGCTCATGGGACAGATTGAGACTTTCAAATTTTCATTTTTCATGGTAAAATGAAGGTCTGCACTAGAATTTAGCTCTGTTGCGATTTTCGTTATTTCATTACTGTTTTCAGGTCTAAATTGACCGGACTATACGAGATAAACTTCAGTAGACTTTCGGTCTAGGATGTTACCTTTCGAAGTATACCTAATGACATCTAGTCAGGAAAGTATGTTTCAACTTTCGAAAAATCGGTCAGTAGCACAGAACTTAATAGACATTTTCTACGATTCTCAGCGACAAGTTTTCTTGTGTCATGATGTTTCCATTCATAATAATTTTTTGATCAATTGACAAATTTTGTCCGTCTTTTTTTTATTCTGAACAAGTGATAAATGAATGTAAGTATATATTCACGTAGACAAAAGTCGGCAACATTTTGTGAACAAACTTCGGTGTTTCATTTGAACTGAATCGTGATTAGTGAAAACTCCAAGTGTGAAAATTCACGAAGACTCTGTTCAGCATTTTACATCTGTAGGAACGTAGGTTGCAGACCTGCAAAAATATTTCTGCTGGTTTCTAAACCTTCTTTGAAGATGTGTGAATAAAAATGAGCACAAAATAAGAAATTGAACTAAAAAATATTTCGAACCAAGTTACTACATGACGTTTCGAGAGATCACTATTCATAGGTCATTCGAGCGCTTTCTCCTATCCCCTCTTTTCTCTTTTCGTTTCACCGGTTTTGCGGGAATTGACCGTTATCCGCTTGACTACAGGTTTTCATATGTTGCGTATCTCTACACTTGCTTGCCTGAATGCGTCATTGGAAAACATATAATCAGCTTCTTTGAATTTTCTCTCGAACCAGTGTTTCTCCTTATGAATGATCTCCGCATAAGATCACTTGATGTTACGTTGATGAGTCCAAACATGCTCTGATATTCCTGATTTGCTGGTTTCTCCTCGTTGTGTGTTTTTCTAGTGCTCGGCAATGTGGATTTTCAATGATCTCTTAGTTTCGCAGTCCGCGTTTGGTGGTCTGTTTTTCGTAAGGCTTGCTACGGATGATGTTTCCGGATCTGAAGCAGGTTTTGATGTTGTACTTGGACCCAATTCTTCTTACCCTTTTCGAAAATTATCTAACGTAGGAAAAAACAAGCACTGACTGTGATTGTGACACGGCTTCTCTTAACTGCGAAACTCTTGTTGTCTTCTAGCCACAGTCAGTTCCACCATCACTTTGTAGTAACTATTCCGTTGAATATCTTTTTTGTTGATGCCTAGTTCCTTCTCGATAACCTCCTTTGTATTACAGAGCCCGAAAGCACATTCCTCTAGAGTCTTGGAGTCTTGATGATTCTCCTTTTGATAGATTAATGATGGTTGGATTTGTGATTCAGATACTGTACCGAGTGAGTGGGTTTTCGGTATACAGATATTTTCCAGTTAGTGTCGATCCTCTTCACCAATACGTCCAAGAATGGCAATTCGTTGTTGACTTCCTTTTCCATTGTGAAGGTGATGAAAGGTCTTACGCTGTTGATGTGCTTTAGAAAGGTCTCTAGTTATGTATTTCCATGGTTCCATACTATAAAAGTGACGTCAACATATATCAACCAGTTTTTGGGCTTCTTGTGTGCTTCTCCAATAGCCAGAGTTTCAAAACACTTCATATATATGTTGGCTATAACTGGTGAAAGTGGCAATTCCATTGGCAGTCCCTCATCTTGCGTAAAGAATTCGTCTCTCAGTTGGAAAAAAGCAGTTCCGTACATAGCCCCCTGGGGATTCTATGACTACTACTATAGGTGGGTTTGTTCTGTCTTCCAGGTCCTTGTCTCGATTCATAGTAGATTCACATCAGACAATGAAAGCCCGAACTAATAAAAATTCATCATGAAATATTTTCAACCATATTCAAAAAACCGTGTGTTTTCATATCTCACAATATGCAATGAACTATTTTTTTCATTCAAATGATTGAAAAACAACAATATCATTAGTTTTTTATTTTCTGTAAAATTTGTTGTGAGTGACTCATCTGGAGTTGAAACTAGAATGCTTTTATAATTTCTGCCTTTCTGCCATATTAAGTATTTGAATTGTATAACTTACACATAGTATGTTTGATACTAAAAAGAAATTGTCATGACTTCAAATTCTGAATTGTATTTTTTTTAGATTTCGTTGTTCCAATATGCTTACCTTATGGTGGTTTGCTGAAAAGAAATATGATGGGTAAACATATGACTATAGCTGGCTGGGGATACACGAGTAGTTCTTCTGAGAATCAATCGAAAGATTTGATGCATGTTGCAGAACCCGTCGTCAATCAAACTCTTTGCAATGATATTTATAAACACAATTTAACAAGTAAACAATACTGTATTGGATACCCAGAAGGTACGATTAATTTTAATGACACCATTGTTTCGTTCTTGCTCACAATTTCATAAAAATGTATTTCAACAAGTTGAACGATTTCGTGCAGTGATGAGGTTACTTCTCATTAAGATATTTTTATTCAAATTCATGTGATGATATGTCCTGAAGATCTCTATAATTGAATTTCATCGAGCTAAAGTTTTGAGAAAAAATATCTTTCAACGAAAAACTTTATGAAACTGAATATTTCTGTGAAACCTATAATGTATTTTCTGTGTATCAAAAAGCAATTTTTGCTGTAAAATATTATTTTTAACAGCGGCGTCAGTGCACCGAATCATTTGACATGGCACTACTTATTCTTGAAGTGAAAATTATTTCTGAAATTTTTCTGGGAGAATCAGCAGATTAGGTTTTTTAGATTAGCGTACAATTTTTGCTTCGAAAAATTAAATTCATACATTTGGATCTCGCAGAAAAATAAGTGATTTCACGTAATAATTTATTTAGGATTTTCAAACTGTTGAATTATGAAATTGTAGGAATATTCGAATGTACTGGAACGAAACCATAATTAAACAATCTGTTTGTCTATCTGAACGATGTAAACACAAAAACCACCGGAAGAATTTTAATTCTTCTGGGTTTCCGTTTTGACAGAATTCACAATCAATAACAGTTGAACTATTTTGAGTTCTCAAATATATTCATCATTTTCTGTCAGCTGAAACACGTTTCTCAAAATTCATGCAACCTAAACACGCTTCATAACTTTCTCTTTGTTTCCTCATACATTTTCATACATTTTCTCCCCTTCTTCATCAATTTTTTTATTGCTCCTCTGATTTCCCAACAGCCCATATTTACTACTATCTAGAGCTGATTGTCCTATAACTGTACCATACCTATTGTTTAGAATTTTTTCATATTCCATATACCAATTTATAATATTTCAAATCCACAACTTTTTTGTTAATATTTACAGTATTCACCACTCTGTAAAACGTTCTAGATTCGGGGAACTATGAGTGAAAATACAAATATTTCTATAAGTTTTTTTTTCAGAATTCATTGTTTAAATCATTTTATATTTCCATAATACTTTCCATAAGATCCTGAATCCTCATGTGTTCACAAACATTTCACAATTTTTATCTAATTCCCCCATATCAGCGGTTGGTGGATCATATACAACATGCGAAGGCTATGAGAATAAGCAAGAAGGTTTCTTACGGAACTTGAAGTTCCGTATCTGTTTACCAGCTGGAACAAACAGTATGCTGTACCCAAAACGAAACCGATCGAATACACATTTGTTGCGAAACAAATATGAAAAGAACCGGTTTATAATTCAAGGAGGATATTTTCATCAATATAACAACTGTCATACCTCTTCCTTCTTTCCTTGGGGACCATCATCCCTACAATTTGAATAGGAAAAGTGTGACAAATTAATGACAATGTAATTTTATAAGCGATTTAGCCATGTGATTGACCATTACGTAACTTTTCTTTTCGGCACCTCTCACGGAAAAACAACTTTTTCTTGAATGAAAAATCGGCCTGTCTTTGCATTTTATTCTTCACAAATGTGTCTTGAAGATATTTGATAATGTGGACATTTATGCGGATGACACCACAATTCACGCACATTCGTTCTCGAGCGAGGTGACTGAGCAGCAACTGAAAATCCATCTGGACATGTTAGTCGTGCCGTATTTTGAAATGAAATTGAAGTCAACCTTACTAAAAACAAGCTTGTTAACGTGAACGTGAAGGTCTTCGGGAAGATGCTAGCCAAGTGAGTTTGGTTATCCAACCTTGCGGCTGCGGTGGTAAAACGTACGTATCCGCTCTATGCACATAACTCCAAGCTCTGTGACAACAAGCTGCTCATTCACAAGCAAGTAATAAGACCATTTTCGTTGTACGACTGCCCTGTATTCTACAGCCTCATGAGGACTCCCCTGTTGCAGAATGGGGTGCTCCGTATTTGCATAGTGATAGATACTTTTCATTGAAGAATATGTCAGATATGGCCTATGAATTCTTCAAGTTCTTTCTACCTAAGAGCACGATGACTAGGGACATCACGGCCGTCACAAGCTACCATATAATCAGCCTCGTGGAAAAGGGCTGATCTATCAATCACTTGGTGTTTTTCATACGTGGCGCGAACAGCACCGCGTCCAGTTCATTGATCATATAGGGTAATACACGTTTTAGCGTGAATATCGAATTACTGTCAGCTGGTTTTTTCATGAACTTTTTCCAGGAGGTTTCAGGATCAACACTGGATAGGCAGTAACTAGACAGAACCCCTTAAGTGTAGAACAGATATAAAACGTTAACTCTTGCATAAGCCTCGACAGGAAGCAGTGGAAAACTACCCGCTACTACTACCGGGGGCGGCCCCCACTGTCCAGCCGTGAATCTGTGAGGTGGCATTCTTTTCAGCGGTTGTAGTGTAGTTCATTAGTGTTGTAATAGGCAATGGAGATTCGATTTCAATTTTGATTTTTTTGTATCTCTACTGAGATTAGAACTTTGTGAGATACTTTTTGTTAATTCATTTCAAACATTTCAATAATCTCAGAGTTGGATTGATTTCATGATAGTTTACCCAATGATTTTCATACAGATTTCAAAACAAATCGTAGCCATAAGAAAAATGAGACCTTCAGATCTACCAAAGACGCATTGCACTTGACCAACAACAAGTTTCAAGTGGGTATTTGCGGCTACACTCAGAGAAGACGGGAGTGGTTCGGTAAAAACATGTATTGAAGAAATAACAATGAGCGCCAGGTAAATTTACCCACAAATACCCTTAGTTATGTGCCTATATCCCTAATTTACCAAAGGACATGGAAACAACGGGTTCATAAAATAGATTTATTCAGAACCGGTGTACTTCATCAACAACATATGCAAATTAACTGAACTATTCAACATAAACAAGTTTAAAAGTCAACTGGATGGTTTGATGACTCCTTCTGAAAAATTCCAAAAATCCGACCTTCAGATTTACCAAAGACGCATTGCACTTGACCAACAACAAGTGTCAAGTGGGTATTTGCGGCTACACTCAGTGAAGACGGGAGTGGTTCGTTAAAAACATGTATTAAAGAAATAACAATGGGCGCCAGGTAAATTTACCCACAAATACCCTCAGTTATGTGCCTATATCCCTAATTTACCAAAGGACATGGAAACAACGGGTTCATAAAATAGATTTATTCAGAACCGGTATACTTCATCAACAACATATGCAAATTAACTGAACTATTCAACATAAACAAGTTTAAAAGTCAACTGGATGGTTTGATGACTCCTTCTGAAAAATTCCTCCAATAATTAAGCGTGAGTGACGGTAGCTATAGCAGNCAAACGACCAGTTAAATCTTTAAGGCTCTGGAGCCAGAGAAGACTATAATGGTCAGTAACGACGGTGAACTCAACCGATTCCAAATATGGCCTCAGTTTCTCGATTGTCCAAAGAACGGCAAGGCACTCACGTTCCGTAGTAGTATAATTCCTCTCTGCACGCGTCAGAGATCGGCTCAAATAACATATAACCTTATCCCCTGTCTCATGAGGCTGCATCAAAACCGCTCCGATACCATAGCCGGAAGCATCTGTTTGAACAACAAATGGCTTTGAGTAATCGGGGCAGCTAAGAATCGGAGCTGACACCAGACTTTTTTTAATTCGCCGAAATGAATCATCACATTCGCTAGTCCATTCAAACTTCGAATTCTTCCGTAGCAATGCTGTAATAGGAACTATAACTGACGAGAAATTCTCTATAAATCGCCTATACCAAGAAAATGTTCCCACTATACGACGAACTTCCGTGACATTAGTTGGAGGGGGGAGATCAAGCATAGCTCGAACTTTCTCCGGGTCGACATGGAGTCCATTCCGGTCTACGATGTAACCAAAGTATCTCATTTCCGGGCGACAAAACTGACACTTGCTAACACTTACAGTTATGTTGGCTTCCCTTAAATCACTAAAAACTTTCAAGTTTTGTTCGAAAGTCGACGTGACTATGACAATATCGTCCAGATAAGCAAATACATTGGGTTCCAAATCATGCCCTAAAACGTTGTCAATTAATCGTTGCCACGTTGCCGGAGCGTTGTGCAAACCGAACGGTAACCTCCAAAATTGGTACAACCCTCTGTTTGGTACAGTAAATGCCGTGTAAGGACGCGAACTTTCCGCTATCGGGACCTGCCAATACGTTGATTCAACATCTGAACTAGATAAATATTTCACATCTCTCAGTTTATCAAGTGTATCTATGACAAAAGGTAAGGGGTAACTATCCCGAACAGTGACTGAATTGAGTTTCCTATAGTCTACACAAAATCGAAAACTTCCGTCTTTCTTTTTCACAAGAAGTATCGGAGAAGACCAGGGACTGTTAGACGGTTCGACTATTCCTAGTCTAAGCATCTCATCAAGTTCCTTATCTATCTGGGCTTGTACGACGGGATTAACCCAGTAATAACGCTGCTTAATGGGCTCACTATTGGTAACTATAACGTATTCGGCTCTGTTGGTACAACCCAGCTCCTTTCCCATCAGAGCGATATTACGATCAATCACAGCTTCCAAACGACTACTTTCCAAGGGAGTTAAGAGAGTCTGACCTTCTACCTGTTCAACTTCATTAATAAGTATCGGTTCCTTAGAGAAATACCACTCATCATGGCGAAGATCCGGTACTACACCCATTAACTTCCAAAAGTCCGCACCTAAAATCAAAGTGTGGGGCAATTCTGGAAAAACCGCTACTTCCATCAATCGTAACCTTCCCCTTAATGAGATATACGACGACAACACTTTTACAACGACTACCATTCGCAACCGAACAAAACGTAGACCTACTACTATCCAAAGTAAGACCTAACCCTTATTTCCAAGTACAATACGAGAAGCACCGGAGTCCAAAAGACCTAGAATTTGTTTTCCCAAAATTTCAACACGTAAATATGGCCTCTCATCATTATCAACATGATCTAATTAAGGAACTACAGACTATCGTGACCTATAAAATACTATCAACTAGATTTCGAAGAAGCTAGCTAGATGTCCGACTCGGATCAGCTGATCGGAACAATGTTTACGTTAAGTGATTTTCGATTAAGGAAAACAAATAAACAAAACCCTTATGAATCTTATTCTGCAACTACTGAAATGAGGTGATTACTGCCTCATCATTTATGTATGTGGTCGATAACAGTGAATTGTTCGATTCATCATAAAATCATAACAAATATTTCCTCTACTTAAACTAATTAACACATTCTTTTTTTTCAGTTCCAGTCAAACAACCAGAGGCGGATTCGTTGGAATGGGATATCCTTTTATTTTAAAATTGTATGCACAAGTGTGCTGAATAAATGAGATTGATTTCACATACAGGGCGTGTAATTACTAATGTACTCTTAGAATGAAATTTTAACGTTACAACAATCATCATTTTTATATTGTAAGTTAACCAAGGTGCTGGGGGTTTAGTTACTCTCTTCGTTTGAGAAGGGGCGTGTTTTTCGAAAAGATTAAGAATGTTTTCGTTCAGGAAGGAGACCATACAATCCACGTTATCGAATTGATAGATGAGATCCCACTGAATATTCAGGACGTCTTAACGGAATAGATCGAAGTCGAAGTTACGATAATCGCGAAAAGAAACCATTTTTACTCTTCTAGAAGAAACAGAAGCATTAATTTTGCACATCACTGACATATGGTCTGAAATTCCCTGAATATCATATACATCCACATCTAATATTCTTTCCTTATCAGAGACTAGGACGATGTCAATAAGGGATTGAGAGTGAGCAGTTATTCGGGTAGGCTTCTCTATAACCTGATAAAGATCGAACGAATTTATAAAATCTGTTAGGACACTGTGACACTGCGATAGATCATCTAAATCCATATAAAAACTAGTTTATATTTCGTTAAATCCAACAAGAATTCTATCACCGACATTTAAAATAATTTGTTGTAGGAAACAAAGAACATGAAAAATAAAATCTCTCCTCCATCACATTAAAGACATATTCAATATAACGCAAGAATAATGAACGTAAAAAATCAATCTCTATATCAGGAACATATAATGAAATGCATACATCAACCCCCTATCAGTAGATTTTTTAGTAGTATAATTAGAAGTATTAACATACTCTTCTAGTTTTTCGTGAACCAAGAGAATTTTTTTTACGTTATATTTTTCCAATTGCGAAAGTCCCATAATGACTAATTTTAATGGAATGGGCCTGTTATACAGAATAGGAGATCTGTGAGCCCAATTCATTAGACATTTTTCAATTTCAGTAGCTCATTGGTGGTCCACCATTATAAAAAATTAATTTGTAACTTATAAGCAATCGTCTATTTTTGACAACCAACCAAATAATTCAATTATGGGTTTATGAAGTTATCATAAATTATTTAAAAACTGGAGACATTAACTCTTGATCATACGAAATATCAAGTTGAGTTGAGACCATTTTTTGTTTCCGGTTCTGCAGGCCGGACACTTCGTCTACAACTTCGACCGACATTGTCAAAAGCAATGTAGAAATGGTCACAATGGTATCCCTTGCTGGGATCGCAGTTGTAAACGAAACGTCAGTCCCAAAAACCTGCAGACCACGGCAAGTGAACCCAGAAACATCAAACAATTTGTTAGATACCGGCCATGAAACCCACACTCCATGACTGAGTATTTCAGTTTTTTTTTATTTCAGGAAAGGATACTTGCAATGGAGACTCAGGTGGACCTGCGATGAAATCAATGAAAGTAAATGATGGTAGGAGAATGTTTCTTTTTGGAATCGTGTCATATGGTCTTGTCGATTGTGGAAACGGACCAGCTGTATATACAGCGGTGGTTAAATATATGAAGATCATTTTAGATAAGATACAATGTCAATAAAAATGTGTTTGAAAAATATGTTTCATGCATGAATAAATGTTGCAGAACAAAAAAGTGTTTTTCTATCATCACTCGAAGTATTATGCTTTCAGAAACTCGTGAATTGAACCGTATTGTTAAGAATTCATACTCATAATTTCACTTTGAATTCCGTCGAAATGTTATCGATAGAAAACCAAACCAAGTTTGTCGTCTGCTCGATCAGCTGCCTAAAAAACAATGTTTCATTTTCTGAACTCCAAATTCGAAAATTCACGACTTTCCTCAGGAAAAGTAAAATCGTGAATCAGACGATTTAAGATGAAAACTCCTATGGAGATGCATTTTTTTTATTCTTTACTTCGAGTTGATATAGTAGCTTTCTCTTCAACTCCCCCACTCCTTAGAAGTAGGGTAATATAGGATATTTGTAGCAGTAGATTTGTTTTTCTACGACACTCGCGATGACCTGATTTATCGGAGTTTGTGAGTGAAGTTGTTGCACTCCGAGGAAAATATACGTCTCTTTGGCATAAAAATGGTGTAGGTAGGATATTTCTGTCTACAATGCTTCCAGCACGCACATCCTTTGTAGTCTTCGCATTATTCTATAGGTATGGAAATGGATCGTTGAACACGATTCTACCTCGAATCTATGCATGTACCCCTCCACCACCCCCAAATACTGTTGGAGATCCTTCTCTGGAGAATAGTAAAGCTTGATGTCATCTATATGAGACAAATGGGTAACCTTTTGCCTTCAATTTTTGGAGTTGCCACAGTTATACCCTCTAGCTTGATCTGTGGTGAAGCCTGTGCGCCATTGTGGTATCAACTGTTCAAAGCATTCCATTATATTTTTGAGTATCACAAGGCATCTGAGCAAATGCAAGATGAACTCATGTGATATTGTATCAATTACCTCGCGGTAATCGATCCAGGTAATAGAGAGGCTACCCTTATATTGTATTGAGTCGTGCTTTACACATCTATCGATGAATATGTTACCCTTTACATCAAGTGGCTCTTCTCCCACATAGCAATAGATATTCCAGGTATATTTCATGAATATACATTTAGGGATATTGTATTATGCTATGACTATGCCATGGATATATATATATATATATATATATATATATATATATATATATATATATATATATATATATATATATATATATATATATATATATATATATATATATATATATATATATATATATATATATATATATATATATATATATATATATATATATATATATATATATATATATATATATATATATATATATATATATATATATATATATATATATATATATATATATATATATATATATATATATATATATATATATATATANAGACATTCTATGCACATTCTTTCGGGAATAATCCTGCCATATTCATTCAAGCATATTCTATGAATATTCTAAAGGCATGTATATATTCCAAGAATATTCTATGAATATTTGGAATATATACGTTCGTTTTATGATATACAGGGAATATTCCATGAATATCTAGTGCTGTGTGAGCTGTTCAACCCTCTCTGCTCATATATTCGTTCGAATGCTAGATCAACTTTGGATAGAATCAGTGTATATTATGTCCGTGAATAATTTGTAATATGAATTCAAGCATGATATTGGTCTGTAATTTTCAGAAGTCAACAAATCTCCATTTTAGTGGACAATAACAGTCTGCCTTTCTACAAACCGATCTGAAAGTGACTGGTCTCTCTTCAGCTATGAGTCGAAAATACTGATTAGATGACGGTGGGTACTTCACCAGTAAGTATTTAGTCCATTTATACCTGAAGCAGCAAAATTTTCAGAACCCACAAGGTCTCTTCGACTATCATGAGGGGTTATCGGATGGTGCAGTTCATTGAGCATAGTCTTTCGAAACCATATGCTGGAAGATTTGAACTGCACTAGGGCGGGATTTTGAGTTGAGTGTTCATGAATGTCCCTCCAGAAGAATTCCCCCATATCAGCGGTTGGTGGATCATATACAACATGCGAAGGCTATGAGAATAAGCAAGAAGGTTTCTTACGGAACTTGAAGTTCCGTATCTGTTTACCAGCTGGAACAGTATGCTGTACCCAAAACGAAACCGATCGAATACACATTTGTTGCGAAACAAATATGAAAAGAACCGGTTTATAATTCAAGGAGGATATTTTCATCAATATAACAACTGTCATACCTCTTCCTTCTTTCCTTGGGGACCATCATCCCTACAATTTGAATAGGAAAAGTGTGACAAATTAATGACAATGTAATTTTATAAGCGATTTAGCCATGTGATTGACCATTACGTAACTTTTCTTTTCGGCACCTCTCACGGAAAAACAACTTTTTCTTGAATGAAAAATCGGCCTGTCTTTGCATTTTATTCTTCACAAATGTGTCTTGAAGATATTTGATATGCTTCGTTCACGGTGACGCACAATGTATAGTTCAATAAATTTCGTACACAGACGAAAACATCACAAATATATTGTCTATCAAAATATGCTAATGGCTATCCCTGATAAAAAAAAAATGAATTGTTTTACCACTTTGCCCCCAACAACATTACAACAACAACATTGGCTGTATGGAAAATTTAGATATCTCTAGTAGTTTCGGAGATGAATAAAATACGACTTCACTATATGCCTTGCTACTCCCTGTACTATTGAAGGTACAGAAGCTACATAAACTTCATGAGCATTGAAGATTTTTGAAAAAGGTTTGGAAAAGTGCCTTTCTTTCAATAGGTTTTGGTAACATACTTGACTACAATAATTTATTAAAAATCTCAATTTTCGATTCCCAACAACTTCTCTGAAGTAACCACCGATCTTTTTCTGCAAATAAGAAAATGATTTTCTCTAACTTCACTTACGAACAATTTCAATAGTTCTGTTCAGTAAATGTTTGATGCACTGGAGATCCTGCATTAATGATGTTGAACCTAGGAGTTCTCCGAAATATAAATTGTTCGAAAGTTCGTCGTATATAATTCAATATCCATCGTGGTATTGACCATGAAAGTTATTGGGTCCCAATTTTGGTTTTTGAGCTTGCTGGTCCCCTTCTAGTGGACTGTATGCTATTAAATAATGCGACGTAGGATATTGAGTAACACACTTTATTCTGTCACATCTTGTTTCACAGATTTCACAGAATATCGAATACGACAATTGGTTTGATCGGTTTAATTTGATGTGAGAAACATTATCACTGAGCTTATACAAATGAGAACTTTTGATATTCTCCTCAATAAAGTAACACTTCTTACTTAACTAGACCTTTAATACTTATTGCTAAAATTTCTATATCTGTGTCATTCAATTGAAGATGAATTTCCACAAAATAAATAAGTCATCGATATCACAAAATAACTAGACCTTTCTTACGTTGTGCTAAAACCATACTGTCTGAACGAGGGTAGTCTTCAGCGAGAGGTAAAGAAAACAGGACCCACGCTATTGGTTCCCGAGGGTAGATACGTAATTCTTGACAACCAGACACAAACCATTACACAGAGGCGTAACAGTGTTTAAAAAACTCAATTTAAATTTTTATTTGTATTCCCAATAAAAGTAATTGTTCTCCTACATGCATTTGCCACAGCTTACTGTGAAGGGGCGTTGGGAGAAATGAATATTTTCGAATAAGAATTGAAATAGTTCCTCAATTCGTTTGTATCTTTCCTCTATACAGTCTTCAAACTCATTTTATATCTGTAGGAGTGTTGATACTGGAAATGCTTCTTGCCATCTTTTTGGAAAGTTGTTCACGAGATTGAGTATTTGTTTGGATACTGAAAAAAAGGCAAGTAGTTTTGAACACTTGTTTGACCGCTCTTCACCCGCGAAAGTGAAAGTCCCCCCCATGCCCCCTCTCGGGTTGAGTGCCCTGAAGTAGGAGCTTCCCCCCCAGCTCTCCGAGCGGTTCTCAACTCACTGATGGGTACTTCAGCAAGATTGACATCTGACCTCTTTTGGTCGAAAATCAGCCTTTAGGTGTTATTCTTTCGCGATCGGTAAAAAGTGTTTTGTCTGACTATCCCTAACTGAATTTTTGCATGGGGGCCTCCAAGGACTAACCGGCGGCTGTTGCTATTAACGTCGGGCGTTCCTTAGTGAATCTAAGGATAATTGGATCGCGGTCGAGTTGTTCTGCGGTGAACTTATTGGAAGAAGATCTGATTAGTGTACTTACCGGAGTCGCCTGACAGCGACTCGTGGGGGCGGTCTTTGGTTCTGCTTCGTCGGCCTTGGATGTTTGTCCCTTTCTCGGAACCTGGGGTCATCCATGTTCAACGCATCATGTAGATCGCGTAGCGCTGGGTTGTTGTGCGATCTGATTCTATCGAACACGCTTCCTGCATGTTCTCTCATATACACGTCCACATATTGCGTATCCAGGTCTAAGTCTCTGTATATATATATCTATTTGAGATATAGTACGGCGCGTTTACGGCGGCCCTTATGCTCGCGTTCATGAACGACTGTATCTGCTTCCTATATGTCTGTGCGCACTGGCCCCAGGCAGTGCAGGCATACAGTATTATGGGCATGAGGACGGTATTGATCATCAGCAACTTCACTTTCAATAAAGTGAAAGTCCTCCCGTATGACACCTTATATACCCGAGATACCAGGCGCCACCTCATCGTAGCAGCCTTATCACGGTAATCTGAGGCTCTGCCGTGATGGATCTATTCGTGGGACTCATTGAGGACCATGAAATGATCAAAAAGTGAGATCCGAAATCTACAAAAGGGATGAAAGTCCATTAAACGGTGTAGGTACACATGTGCACCTATACACCGCATCTGTACTCTCAATAATAATAATAATAATAATAATGATAATAATAATTATATAATAATTATTACGAGAGTAGTGAGCCCGCGCGAAGAGGGTACATGGCGAGATTGCATGCTCTGTGATGTGAAACACATCCGGAGCATGCCGCCTTTTCCGCCCAAAATCTTAGGGATTACGTATCCTATCTTCGGCGGCAGGGCTATATAGCTCCTCCCCAGTCTGCTAACGAAGTGGTAGAAG